GGAGGAGCCTCGTTGGAGACCCCCCCCCTCACCGTACTCGTTGATTCATACCCTCCGGAGGAACCCTGGCCATACTCACACCAACCGGGCCGCACTAACAACCAACGGGTCGCAGTAACACCTTATCTCGGAGGAGGAGGAGGAGGAGCAGGAGGATGAGGAGGGAGGGGGGGGACGAGGAGGAGGAGGAGTAGCAGGAGAAGGCGGAGGAGGAAGGCATCGTGGACAGCCCTCCCCAGCTCGGGGGAGCATCGTGGGCCCCCTCGCGGGAGGTGGCCGCACCCTCGCGCGGGCGGACGCCGACCGAGCAGGCGCCGAGATAGGGGAAAAGCAGTGCTCCACGGCAGCGCCGACTCTCCTGCGACGTCAGTCACACACGCTTCCCTGCCGCAGCAGTCAGGCCTGGGCGGAGTCGGACCGGACACGCACGGGTCCCCCAGCGAATCGTCCTGGATCGAATCGAAGTCGGACGGCCGCCAGCCGGGCCGAAACTAGTAAATCGAACCGACTCGAACCGAACCAGAGTCGCGGACCCAGCTGGCGAACCGAATCACATCGCACCGAATAGTAGGCGGCACTGAAAGTTCGATCTACGGCGAGCAGAACGCCACAAGTGAGAATAAATCAGCAAACGGCGCGGAGCCCAACGAAGTGATCCCTTCAACTCCTACCCGTTCGCCGCGATGCTCAAACGCGCTTGCTGGTCAAACAAGCCTTCTTTGGAACCCAAGGGATTTCTGGTATATCTCTGCTTGAGACAAATCAGGTTTACGCCACTCACTTTCTGTCGACAACGTACATCTCATCAAGCTGATCTGGCGTCAATTGATCGTTTTTCCCCGGGACTTGGAAACGAAGCTTCGAAGTGTGGGCTTGCACCCTCAGTGCGGACCAGACCACCAAGTCCTTCGGCCGCAAGCTCACGTTGCACGAATTTCACCTTACCGAGCTCACCGACAGACTCGCGTCCCAATGGCCTAAAATCAACCAGCTCCGCGACGAACTCACAAGCAAACGGTATTATGTACCCTCCAACGCAAGTCCTTTTTGTAGTAATTTGTCATGAACGGTTGCAACTCTTCTTGAACACTCACCAAAGACATGCTCCAAACATGACGATGCACTCAACAGCGGATGCTACGACTGGTCGTGAACACACCCGGGCATCGATCCGATGCCGAGACCGACGAGGAAGCAAAACTGACACTACCTCGGCTGACATCCAGCGGGACCTGGATCTCGACGGGGTCGACGACGACCCCGACCTCGAACCATGGAAAAATCTTGTCTGAGCCTTTGTGGGCCCCGGAAACGGCAAGGCCGTTTTTTCACCGTTTCCAAAAACATGTCCCTTGAAAATGGAAGCGGCAAAAAAACGGCGACCGGAAACGGCGAAAAAACGGCTCCAGGATTGGAACCGGAGCCGGAACCGGTCAAAAAACGGTGACGGGACCGACGGGACCGGGAAAAAAACGGCGTCGGAACCGGCAACGAAAACGGCAAAACGGAACCGGTAACAAAAACGGCCCTGTCGTTTCCTGGGCCCACTAAGGACCCGAAGTCAGGGGAGCTTGGGCCGTTGTTGGAATCCCGCCAGGAGGGAAGAGCGCAGGAGGTCGATCCGAGCCAGGCTCGAGAGGAGGCCACGGATCGCTTCTGGCGCAGCCCTTGGAGCAGTTGACCCCCCTGGTTGTGGACGACGGTCCATGGAGAGGAAGCACGTTGCCACATCATTTCCAGATGTCTAAAGCATGTTTTGTAAACATTCCCCAATCAGAGCTTGCCTCTGTAGGGGTCCTAGCGGACTCATGTGGTTAGGTTAGGTTTGCCGCTGATTTTTGCTGCACGCCCGGGTGCCCGGGGGTGCCCAGGTGCCCGGGTACCTGGGCGTGCCCCGGGGTGCCCGGGTGCCCGGGGGTGCCCTATAGCCCTATACTCTGTGTAGCCCAATAGCCCTATAGCCCTATAGCCCTATAGCCTTGATTGGGTTTTCTCTTTGGTATCATTTCTTAAACATGTAAAACACATCATTTCCAGATCATTTCCAGATGTCTAGGGTCTGAGCAGCGACGTGCGCACAACAGCACAGACCTGTCGTTTCCAGGGCCCACTAAGGTCTGAGCAGCGACGTGCGCACAACAGCACAGACCTCGCAAGACGGGCCCACGCTGGCCTGCCCTGCCGCGGCGAGGGAGCCCGGCGCCCACGACCGCCCGACAGGCACCTCCGAAGACCCAGTGGCCTGCAAACGCGACGGCCAACGAGGCCCAGATGTCACACAGCTTCGGGCCGCCTCCTCCTCCTCCTGCTCTTGCTCCTAGTGCTCACCTCCCCCTCCTCCCCCATGACCCCTCCCCCCCTCCTCCTCCTCCTCCTGGTCTCCTCTCCCCTCCTCCTCCTCCTCCCTCCGCTCCCCTCATCCTTCCTCTTCCTCCGGCTCCTCCTCCTCCACCTCCTCCTCCCCCTCCTCCTGCACACCACCAACCTCCACCTCCAACACCCCACCTCCACCCTCCACCCCTCCTCCTCCTCCGCGCTCCAACTCCTCCCTCATCCACCATCCACCGCCTACCGCTCACACACACCTCCTCCTCCTCCTCCATACTCCTACCTCCTCCTCCTCCTCTCCTCCTCCTCCTACCTCCGTCCTCCTCCTCCATCCCCCTCCACCCTCCCCTCGTCCCCATCCTCTCCCCTCGCCCTCTCCTCGCCCTCCGCCTCTCCTCATCATCCTCCTCCCCTCGCGTTACTCTCCTCTCCACTCCCTCCTCCTCCTCCTTATCCATCCCTTCCTCCTCCTCCTCCTCCTCCTCCTCCTCCTCCTCCTCCCCCTCCTCCTCCTCCTCGTGGAACGAACCAGATAGATCACGAAACCTCGAGCACCACGCCGCGCCATGCGCGACCGCCCTCGCGCCCTCCGGCCCTCGAGCCGCCCCCTTCGAGAAAGGCCAGCCGCCTAGGCCCAGGCCGCGACGCGCGACTGCTCTCGCGCTCCGCGGGCGATCCGGACGAAGCATTGAACGGTGGCGCGCAGAGAGCACCGACGACGCATCACCGGTCCAGACCGACGACGACCGAAGCACTGCACGGAGATCGCAGAATCCGTCGAGAGGCAGCAGTGGCGACCAGCACCGCGCTCCGGGGCCCCGGCGCTATGTGAGGAGGGGCCGCGCGGAGACCTCGGAATAGGAGGAGGAGGAGGAGGAGGAGGAGGAGGAGGAGGAGGAGGAGGAGGGGGAGATGGAGGATGATCCAGGGGTGCCGTGTACCGACCTGGGCGACGCGCGCAGGATGCCGCAGGATCTCGCAGAGCCCGCAGCGCCTGGCTGACCCGGACCGAGCTCCCGTCGACTGCTCTGGCTCGGGTCGGCTCACGGCCCAGCGGCCGCGCGGTCCGTGCCCGCGCGGGTCTGGGACCTCGAAGGCCCCGGTCGCCCGCCCGAGGCTGCCTCGAAGCACAGCGCGAGCCCCAACACCGCGCGGTGACCCTGGATCCCCACTCGCTCGCCACGCTGAGGGGCAACGATGGGGGGGGATTGGCACAGGGGGGGATGCATCGACTTGGAGTCGGCGACACATCGCCGATGGATCGGCGATGTAGGCCTCCGATCGTGAATCCGCACCTCCCTGGGCAGGCTGGGGCCATCGGGCCCCTGTCGACGATCAATGGGCGAGGGGGGGCCGAATGCACCCCCCAGACCCCCGACGTCGTGAGAAACTCACGACGTCGGCCCCCCGAAATCTGGAGACCTTCCCTGGGACCGGTTTTTCATCCCGAGTCGTTTTTTGACGCTCCCGAGGCCCGGCGAGGGCCTCCAGAGGCCGAAAATTGGCAAAAACCTTCGTCGTGAGTTTCTCGCGACGTCGGAGGTCTGGGCCCCCCCCCTATGCCTATGCCCCCCCTACCGCTGCCCCTGGCACGCGGTGTGGTCGCCACACCGCCTGGGGGCCCCCGGCGAGCAGCACCGACGGCCGACCACCGCCTCCGGCGCCGGGGCCGGCAGCTCCCTCCCGCCCGCGCTCCGCTGCAGCTCCGCAGCCCGTCTTTCCTTTGCCGAGCTCTGGCCATCGCTCGGTCGCCCATTCCCTGTGCGTTTTTCGGTCTCGTGCGTGGCTTTTTCTCGCCAAGTGATCGAGGACGCTCCTCGGCGGTCCTCGCCGAAGGAAACATGCACACGTCCGAGCGATGCCACGAGCTCTGGGGGCGCCGTCCCTATCCCTCCTCCCCCTCCTCGTTCAAGCACGACGCGCTCCCGAAACGGGACGATCTACTCTTGAGCCTGCTCGAGCGGATCGACTCCAAGACCCCCTCCTCGACGTGGCCCCAGCCGCCTCGCTTCGAGCCTGGCATGGACGAGGTCCGACGGCGACGAGAAAAACAGGAGACGTCCAAGATGGGAGGCTTGAGGGTGGCAATATCTCAAACGCCATGGGGAGCGTGGATCCCCCGCGCCATCATCCTGTCACAACGAATCTACGGCAGCTGGAAAACGACGTACTCGAACAATTGTTGTGTTTTGTTTCAACGACGACCCCACAAACGTCGACGTAATCAAAGCACTACAGCAAGGCGGCATCGCAACGTGAGAACGATCCCGAAATCACTCTGAGCAGCGGGGGTGTCTGGAGCAAAGCAACAGGCGATACGAAGTACCTTACAAAACGCACCACTGCTGCGCAGGAGGAAGACAAGGAGGATAACAAGCAAGACGACCAACGCCACATGACCTGGGAACGTCGCTGAAGACAACCTGCCATAGGCGAACTGATGCAGCGGACCTTGGCCTGGGAGACTCTCGAACGGTTCTTCTGCAACGCATTCCTGAAGTTGGTGCTTAGATGAGAAACGTTTGGGCCAAGAACACAAAACTTCGCGGGCGTTGAGTGTTCACTGTTGGGGGTGGAGTCGGCTTGAACTTCTGACCTGCTTGCATGCAGAAAGGGGAGAAGTCTCGTTCCTGGAACACACACACACATATCCACCGATTGCCTCTTGTCCGCTACGTCATCAAGAAACGCTGCAGCACGACTAGGATAAAGAGGCAGATGCAATCCGAACGCTCCTTGCCCTTACTGACAATCCCCAACAGCTTGTTCAAGCTCTCGACCTCCCAAAGAAGGAGCGGAAACCACCGCGATGCAGAGAGAAAACCGAGGAACCAGGAGAGCTGAACAGAGACGGGGCGATGAATGAACGAGGCCCAGGTATGGCCGGGAGTGGTGCAAACACATTAACGCTTGTAGAAGATAGACACAACGATGAGGAGCGACAAAAAGGAGAGACAGAGAGACAACAAAGAGATATACTAATCATTTTGCATACATGTATGCATGCATATGACCGCCATCGTGAACCCCAACGTGTGTGCTTGTAGCAATCCATGTCGTGCAAACTGTGTGGTGCCATGTGTATTGTGCCTTCTTGGTGGTGCGGTATACGTTGTGCAATCCATGTGGTGCACAATACGCGGTCCTATACATGTTATACAATATAACTGGTGCGACCCTCACGGTGCAACAAATGTTGTGGTGTCTACGTGGCGCAGTATACGTGGTGCAACATATGTGGTGCAACATATGTGCACTCTGCGTGGTGCAATATATGTTGCGACTCTAGGTGTTGCGGCCTACGTGGTGCAATCCCTCTTATGGTATCTATGCTTTTCAATCTATGTTGTGCAAGCTAAATCATGCAATATACGAGGTGCATCGCCCGTGGTGCAATCTATGTTGCGCACTCCATGTGGTGCAACCGACGTCGTGCATCGTATGTGGTGCAGTATGTGTTGCGCACTCTGTGGTGCACTTGATGTTGTGCAACCCAAGTGGTGCAATCTACGCGGTGCAATTCGTCTGCCGAACTTGAAATTGCCAACACCACATTGAACGCAATCCACCCACCCGCAATTTGGTGTATAAAACCATGTGGCGGCGATTGCGATGACTGCTTCGCGTTGGCTGTCGCATCGCTGCGGTCGCGCTAACGCGAACAGGTTCGCGCGCAGAGCGGCCAACTATTCGGCGCGACCGACGCGGCCGCGGAGGCGCTGACAGCTGGGCACTTCCCAGCGCGTCTCGCAGGCCGCGCGGTATCATGGCGGCGTCGACAACGACACACACGATGATGATAATAACGATGCTGGTGACGACGCGCACACACTGACAACGCCGATGCTGATCACGCTGGTGACGATGATGTTGTCCATGTGTCGACGATACGCGTGTTGGAAGGATTTCACCATGCGCGCGCGGCCGACGCGCGCGAGTGACCCGCATAGCTTGATCTGAAAGGGGCCGTGCCCCCCAGCACGCGCGCAAAAACGCTCGCATGAATCCGACACTCGCGCGCGCGAAAGGCCCGACGGGTCGCATTGGATGAAATGTGTCGAAAATCGATGGCAAGAGCGCGAGCGCAGACTTGTTTGAAAAAACCGTGTTGCAACACCATTCGTGTTTTTTTACTGTTTTCGGGGAGTTCGGTTTCGGAACCCCGAGGAAACCTATAACCTTGAAGGATGCCGAAATTCGCGCGCATCGACGCGCGCGTGTGCACATCGTCTCATTTGTGGCAGAGGACTCCTGTAACTTAAACATGTTTGATAAACGAGTGCGCGCGCATAGTGTCATTCGGCGAGGGGGGCGGGGTCGAACTCGGCGTGGCTGGGATGGTACGAATTCGAATTAAGAATGAACGATGAAACATAATCATATGTAGATTACACGTATTCAAGGTGGACGGATAAGCCTGGTGTCGGGAGGGCGGTGGATCCGAATTTCTTCCGGAAAAGGGGAATCCACGCTGTGTCAGCTACAGTTACGTGGCGCAATCTATGCGGTGTAGTAGATTACCAGTGGCGCTCGCAATTATCAACTCCGCTGATCGCGCAACCATCCCACACACCCACCCGCAACTTGTTCTGCAAAACACATGCGGCGGCGATTGCGATGAGTGCTTGGCGTTGGCTGGCGCATCTCTGCGGCTGCGTTAGCGCGCATGCTCGCGCGCGCAGCGGCCAGCTAGTTTGGCGCGACCGACGCAGCCGCGGCGGCGCTGACCCCTGGGCACTCTCCATCGAGCACTTCAGCGCGCGTCGGCCACCTGGGCGAGCGCGGCATCGTGGCAACGTCGACGACAATAGAAGCGATGAGGAGAGTAGCAACGCTGGTGACGATGATGACAACGGCGACGGCACGGCCAATGACGACGCCGATGCTGATCACGCCGGCGACGACGACGGCGCCCTCACGCAGGCGATGAAGGTATTCGAAGAAGTTCGGCACGCGCGCGCGGCCCACGCGCGAGGATGGCCCACGTGGTATGAGTTGACGCGGATCGTGCCCCCCAGCACGCGCGCGAGGGCGTTCGAATGATGTCGACATGCTGCGCGAGACGTCCACTCTAACGCATCGTTGGCCGACTATTAATGAGTTTGCAGTCTGTTTTAGGTTGTCCATGAGTCTTCGATGGGAAATCAGCGCATTTTGAAAAAGATTGCAAACACTGATTCACATGCAAGACAATCATGGTTTCATACATATACTTATCGGCAACCCTCGATGGTGGAAGAGAAGCGTGATACCACCGCACGCTTTACTGTGGAAAATTGCCACCAATTTCCTCCGAAACCCAGGGGTCCCCCCCCCACGCCCCCCACCTCCGAAAATCCCCACCCCCCCCCCCCTGCTGGACCCCCCTCCACCCTAAACGCCGGCAAAACCCCACCCCTCCCTAACCCCCCCCCCTCCCCCCTCGAAAACACGGGGGGTTCCCCCCCCCCACAATCACTACCAATCTGGAAAACAACCCGGGGGCAACTACCGGTTCGAACCCCCCTCCCCCCGCGAATACCGAGCGAGGTCACTACCGGTTCGAAGCCCCTCCTCCCCACGCACCGCCAGCAAACGACTCCCGGTCCCTACCACCGTCCGCATCACATCCCCCACTGTTGTTCCCAGCACCACTGTCCTCACCACCACTGTCCCCACTGGTTCCACCACCGTCCCTACTGTCCTCACCAGTGCCCCCACCACTGTCGCACTGTCCCCACTGTCCCCACCACTGTTCACACCACGGTTCCACTCTCCCCACTTTCTCCACGGCCCCAACCACTGCCCGACTATCCCCACTGTCCCCACTGTCCCACTGACTCCTCCGCTGTCCCACTGAGCTGTCCCACTGTTCCCACCACTGTCCCCACTGTCCCCACCACTGGCCCCACTGTACCTCTGTCCCATTGTCCCACCGCCGTCCTCGCCACCGCCTTCACCACTGTCCCCACCACCATTGTACCCTCCACTGTCCCACGGTTTCCACCTCATTCCCATTGTCCCCACACCACTGTCCCCACCACCACCGTCACCACCACTGTCCACTGTCCCCCCCTGTTCCCACCATTGTCCCCACCACTGTCCCCAGCACTACCGTCCCCACCACTGTCCCACTGTCCCACTGTCCCCACCACTGTCCCGCTATCCCCTCACCACTGTCCCCACCAACTCCGTCCCCACCACTGTCCGCACCCCCACTCGGTTTTCGAGGGGGTCCGCACCCCCACTCGGTTTTCGAGGGGGGGGGGGTTCGAACCGATAGTGACCCCCCCCCCTTTTCATGATGAACTGGGGGGGGGGGAGGGGTTCGAACCGGTAGTGACCCCCCCCGGTTTTCCGGAGGGGGGGGGGGAGGGGTTCGAACCGGTAGTGACCCCCCCCGGTTGTCCGCCAGCAGCGGTAGAACACGCTCTTTCATATATAAACATATACATATGTGTATCTCTCCCCCTATACTTCAGTGCACATATATGTGTGTGTGTGTAAAAACACACATATAGACAAACATACATACATGTGCATATACATACATAACTACATACCTACCGACCGACCGACATACATGCATGCATGCACATCTACATACACATATACACAGACACGTTCTCTGTATCTCTCTCTCTCTCTGCCGTCCGCCTCTTTCATTATTTCTGTATCATGGCCGTTTGGCTCGCTCTCTCTCTCCCTCTCTCTGTCTCTCCATGTGTATATATATATACATCGGAAATGTGGGGTGAGACCGCGGTGAAACGGAGACCCCCCCCCACCGGCAGATCGGTTTCGGATTCACGTTCGTGCCGTGCGTGCGGGCGGGACGAAGCTGCGTGGGCGGGCGACAGGACTGAACCCGCCGCTGCCAGCGCGAAGCCGAACCAGACGTTGCCGTCCCCCAGGTTGGCCAGCAGTGGCCTGTGGTGTCCCGATGGTGTCCCGATCGTGTCCCGATGGAATTCCGATGGTGTCCCGATGGTGTCCCGATGGCGTCCCGATGGCGTCCCGCGGTGTCCCGTGGTGTCCTATGGCGCGGGGGTGTCCCGTGCTATGCTATATGCTATGCTATACTATGCTATGCTAGCAATAGTGAGATCGATAATGAGATCGATAGCAAGATCGGTAGTAAAATCGGTAATGAGATCGATTGTGATATCGGTTGAGTGGGATCGAACGTACAAATCGATCGTGAGATCGTTCGTGAGATCGATCGTGTGTTCAATTGTGATATCGGTAGTGGGATCGATTGAGTGAGATCGATAGTGATGTTGATAGTGAGATCGACAGTGATACCGATAAAGAGATCAATCGTGATATCGATGGTGAGATCGATGGAGTGACATCGATAGTAGAATCGATAGTGGCATTGATGATGACATCGATAGTGGGATCGATGGTAAGATCGATAGTGATATCAATAGTGTGTGAAAGACAATGAAATCGATCGTGAGATCGATGGTGAGATCGAGAGTAAACTCTGTAAAGAGATCGATAGTGAGATCGATTGGGTGAGATCGATAGTGAGCTCGATAGTGATCGATGATGGCATCGATAATTAGTGAGATCGATCAATGTATCGACAGTGCGACCGATAGTGTGAGCGATCGTGAGATCGATCGTGAGATCGTTCGTGAGATCGATCGTGAATTCGATGGTGAGATCGATGCTGATATCAATAGTGTGATCGACAGTTGGATAGATAGTGAGATCGATAATGACATCGAGAATGAAATCGGTAGTGAGGTCGATCGTGAGATCGATTGGGTGAGATGAAAAGTGAGATCGATAGTGAAATCGATAGTGAGATCGACCAGGAACCTGGGAACCCGGGAACCCGGGAACCAGAAACTGGAACCCCGGGAACCCCACCGCCCACCGAAATCGGCTCCGAACCAGGAACCAGGAACCTGGAACCGGGGAACCTGGAGCCGGGAACCTGGGAACCCAGCCGCCTACCGAAATCGGCCGGGCTCTTTCGCCAAATCTTGCCTCCGCCAGGACCCCTTCAGTGCAAGCACTGATCGAGGAATCTCCGCTGGGACCCTTTCGGTGCAAGCACTGACAGGGGGGAAAAAGCATCTCGCGCAGACCACAAAAGGCTCGCAGAACACCCATCGGTGGGCCTATAGGCAAGCCAGGGCGCCTCGGAGGAGGAGGGGAGGAGGAGAAGGAGGAGGAGGAGGAGGAGGAGGAAGAGGAGGAGGAGGAGGAGGAGGAGGAGGACGAGGAGGAGGACGAGGAGGAGGACGAGGAGGAGGACGAGGAGGAGGACGAGGAGGAGGAGGAGGAGGAGGAGGAGGAGGCCGCCCCCCTTAGGCCCATCCCCTCCCCCGACGTGGCACGACGCACCGATGGGGCCCACGCGCGCGCAGTGTGTGCCGCGGGGGGCGCGGCCGCCTCCGCGCAGCTCGGCGGCTGGCAGATCATGCGGCAGAGCCTCGGCGCGCCAGCGCGGCTGCCGCCGTCTGCAGTAGGAGCTCGACCACACGGAGCCTTCCTCAAGAAACCCAACCCTCGCCATCGCTCGGACGCCCATTCCCTGTGTTTTTGTTCGGTTTCGTGCGTTGTTTTTTCGCCAAACGATCAAGGATGGTCCTCGATGGTCCTCGATGGTCCTCGCCAAAGGAAAAATGCACACGTCCGAGCGATACCAAGAACCCTGAAACCCCAGGACGTCCATTGGTTTTTGGCGTGGGGACGTCACGCTCTGCATCGCAAAGCCATCGAGGCCCAAGAAACCCAGGGCACCCTGGAGGCAAGCAGGGCGTTTCTTGGCATGGGTCTCCACTGTACTGTCGCCGCTGTCGTCGTCGTCGTTGCTGTCGTTGCCTGCCTTCGTTGCCGTCGCTGCTGTCGTTGCTGTCGCTGCCAGCCGCTGCTGCCGTCGCTGTTGCTGACGTCGCTGTTGCCGTCGTTGCCATTACTGTCGTTGCTGTTGTTGCCGCTATTGTCGTCGTTGTTGTTGTCGCCTTTGCACGTCGTAGTTGTCGTCGCCGCCGTTGTCGTCGAAATCGTCGTTGTTGCCTGTGTCGTCGTTGTTGCACACATACGCCTGGAGAAGAGTGTGGCTAATCTATGGAGACGACTCTGGGCGCTCTCGCTTCGACGCCGGCTGCAGCTTCTCTGAAACCGAGGCTCCCGCACGAGCGCGGGCTTGGATACCACTCCTGGCTGTTCAGGGCCCAACTACGACGACAACGGCTCCCGCTCGATACTGCCTCACAGCTTACCCCGAGAGGCCCTGACCAGAGAGGCCTCAAAACTCAGAAACGGCGCTCTCGCTCCAGCCTTCCTCGCAAGTAGATCAAGCTGGTGGAGGCCCAACTACGACGACGTTGGCTGCCGCTCCACATCTCCTTACAACTCACTCCGAGAGGCCCTGGCCAGAGAGGCCCCCACAGCGCTCTCGCTCGACGCTTCCCCGCATATCTGTCGGGTCGGTGGAGGCCCATCGACAACGGCTCCCGCCCGATACTGGCTCACAGATTCTCCCGAGAGGCCCTGGCCAGGGGGGGGCTCCAGATTCAGGAACGGCGCTATCGCACGAACCTTCTGCACAAGTCAATCGAGGTGGTGGAGGCCCAACTGCGACGACATCGGCTCCCCCCTGATACTTTCTCGCGAGCGCGTTAGCCCGCAGAAGGGTCGTGCCGGCGCTGTGCGCATACAGAGTGCACCGCTGGATATGTACGCATTCTTGCACAAGTTCCCAAATACTTGCACCGCTGAGCGCTGCTATGGGAAAACAACCCCCTCCCACAACCACAAAAGAGCGTGATCCATAGACTTAGAAGTTGGGTAGAAGGGAGAGGGATACACAAATAAAAGTCAAAGTAATATCTTATTTCACGTGATCGCAAGATGGCTGTCGTCGTTGTCACCGCTGTCGTCGTCGTCGTTGTCGCCACCCGACACCCCAGCAATTCATGAAAATTAATACGGACCACTTACGACGACCACGGCTCCCGCTCTACACATCCGTGCAGCTTTCTCCGAGGCGCCCTGGTCAAAAGGGCCACCATATTCAAGAACGGCGCTCTCGCTCGGAACTTCCTCAAAATTCAATCCAGTCGGTGAATTGCCCGCGGACGCGTGAGCTCGCATGGCGCCCATGGCGGCGAGGCGCACACAACGAATGCACTGCGGACTGCTTCTCCCGGGAGCTGCCACGAAAAGATGCCCTCCCCCCCCCCCGAAAAGGCGGCCGACACAAAAAACTGCAGGTCGAAGCGGCTTGTTGGATCACGCGTTCGCAGAGAACGGTCGTCATTGCTCTCGTTGCTGTCGTCGCTGCTGCCCCTGTCAGATCACATGCCGCCGTTCTCTTGGTAGTGGTCGTGGTCGGGGCCGTGGTCGTGGTCGTGGTCGTGCTCATGCTCGTCGTCGTCGTCGTCGTCGTCGTCGTCGTCGTCGTCGTCGTCGTCGTCGTCGTCGTCGTCGTCGTCGTCGTCGTCGTCGTCGTCGTCTCCGTCGTCGTCGTCGTCGTCGTCGTCGTCGTCGAGGGCAGCCCGCGCGCCGAAGTTGCCGCCATTGCTGCCGTCGTTGCTGCCGGCGTCGCCTGCCGCCGGCCGTCGAGGCCCGCGGGTCGCGAGGCCCTGCACGCACGCATCTCTGGCTCTTCCCGGGCGGGCCTCCCCGGGGAGCCGCATCCGAGACGTGCCCTCGAGCGCACAGGACCGAGGGCCTCCAGGGCTGCTCCCGCTTACAGGGCACTTTTTAACACATAGGATGTTTAAAAAAATATAGGATGTTTAATACATGAATAATTTATGCATAAATGTATGCATGAACCCATCGTTGTTCTAATACTACATCCCTGCATGTGTAATACATGATCCGCACGCGGAGCATGTATTAAAAACGGCACTGTAGTGCAGCCATGGACTTCTTCGACCGTATCGGCCGACCCTTGGTGCAGGGGAGACTCCGCCGCAGACGAGATTTTGTCCACGCGCTCCTCCGTTGCCCCTGTCTTCGGGGGAGGAAGGACAACAGGGGGGTACCAGCTCAGACGGGGAAGCGTCGAGCTCGAATCGGAACTACATCGCCGAAAAATCGGCGATAGACCCCGGGTTGTGAAACCGCACGGTCCTGGGCGGGGTGGGCTATCGGGCCCCTATCGGCGATGAATGGGCGATCGGGGGCCGATGCATGCCCCCCCCCCATGAGTCTTTCCCCTCCTAACGTTGCCCCTGACTCTCCCCTTAAGGGGACCCCCCCCTTTCGGGGGCGGCCAAGAGGGGGGCGTCCAAGAGGGGGGGGGGAGCAAATCATGGCCGGCGGCACGTGCGCGGCCCAGGGGTGGGGCCAGGGACGGAATGAATAAAGAAGAGGCGACATGAAACCTGGGAGATAGCATGGCCTACGCCATGATATCGACCTCCCCCAGTCATCACCCCCCTCTTGGCCGCCCCTGACCCTTCCGCAAGACACCCGTTCGTGAAAAAAGCGGCCTGCGGCCAGACCCGGCAGCGGGCGCATGCCCGCCAAAAAGTGTGCGGCCGCGGCGCCCTGCCCGAGGACCGAAGACGGGCAGCTCGCGGGTCGACTTGGCGGGGTGGGGGCGCTGGGAGCCTCGGGGGCGTCCAAGGAGGGGGGCGTCCAAGAGGAGGGCGTCCAAGAGGAGGGCGTCCAAGAGGGGGGCGTCCAAGAAAGGAGGCGGGAGTGCTATCAGCCTCGGGGGCGTCCAAATAAGGGGGCACCCAAGAGGAGGGTCCGCAGATCATGGCCCGAGGCACGTGCGCGGCCCTGGGGGGCCAAGGGGCGTGTCGAAATGAGAAGGGAGGCCGTGAAATACAGGGAGATGTCCTGAACTCGGGAATGGGATCCGACCCACCACACCTAATGATCACCCCCCTCTTGGCCGCCCCCGGCAACCTCCGCTCCTCCTCCTTCCCTGCACGATCGGGAGCCGATGCATCCCCCCTTGAGCCTGTCCCCCCCCCCTGACATTGCCTCGGGCTTGTTGGTTGTCGGGACAGAACTCGGCTTTCCGGCGGCCGCTCGGGACGACTCGAACACCTCCATAACGCTCTCGACAAGGTGCAGCTCATGGAACCCGCCCCTGGCCTCGAAAGACTTCGAAAACTTCCGACCACCTCCGATCTGATGGTTGACGATGCCAACAACTATTCCTCCTCCTCCTCCTCCTCCTCCACCTCCTCCTCCTTCTCTCCTCCTCCTCCTCCTCCGCCTCCGCCTCCGCCTTCACCTCCTCCTCCTCCTCCTCCTCCTCCTCCTCCTCCTCCTCCCCCTCCTCCTTGGGCGTCGCTGAAGGGGGGGTGATAAAGCAGGGGGCTAAGAAGAAACGGTGCACCTTTCGTGCCCCCTCTTGGGCTCCAGCGGGCCCCTTCAGGGCCCCTAAGGTGCACGAAAAGTGCACCGTTATTCCCACCCCCTTTGAAACCCCCCATAACGCAACGCCCGACCTCCTGCACCTCCTGCCCCTCCGCCCTCGCCCTCGCCCTCGCCCTCGCCCTCGCCCTCGCCCTCGCCCTCGCCCTCGCCCTCGCCTCCCTCCTCCTCATCGTCATCCTCCTTCTCCTCCTCCTCTTCCTCCTCCTCATCATCATCCTCCATTCCGTCCTTATAGATAACTCCCCCCTGTCGCACCCCGAGGGCGGTCGAAAAGGCGGGCCGAGTGTTTCGCCAGAGACTTCCTCACCATTTATGATCTTGAAGCTTAGATGTCGGCAACAGTTTCACAGATGAAGGCGGGTGGTTTCAAAATGTGGCTCTCGCCTTAGCGCCGCTCACATTCGTTCTTGAACCTTGCAAGAGTTCCACGGGTTGAGGGCGGGTCTTTTTCAAAACGTGGCTCTCGCCTTAAAGCCGCGCACATTCGTTGAAACAAATTACAAGAGCTTCCCAGATTGAAGGCGGGATCGTTTTCAAAATGTGGCTCTCGCCTGAGCGCCGCGCGCATTCGTCGATTACAGAATTCCAAGAGTTTCCCGGAGTGAGGACGGATCGTTTTCAACATGCGGCTCTCGCCGTAGCGCCGCGCTTGTGCATATAAGGAATTCCACAAATCGCAGGCGGGTCGTTTTCAAAATGTGGCTCTCGCCTAAGCGCCGCACGCATTCGTATAAAAACGTCCCCAGACTGTCACTGATTCCCATGGTGAATGTACAAGATACTCTGTTTTGGAACGGCTCGGGATTGCCAGGGCGCAAGTGTTACGCTGATTCGCGGCGTTGAAGTTCAAGGAATGGCGTTCTGGCACGATTCAGGATCGCCAAGACGTACCAGTCAGGTTAACTCGTGGCGTTGAAGTCGAGAATGGTGCTATGGCACGCTTCAACATTTCACACGGTCGTCCCCCTACGGGGCAATTCCCTCAGTGGAAATGAACCCGTGTAGAGGGCTATGAACAAGGAGCTTGGAGGGAGGGTGTACTCCCGCCTTGAGGTTACACTGGTCCTCCTCCTCCTCCTCCTCCTCCTCCTCCTCCTCCTCCTCCTTCTCACATCCTCCTACTCCTCCTCCTCCTCCTCCTCCTCGTCCTCGTCCTCGCCCTCGTCATCGTCATCGTCGTCACCACCATCACCATCACAATCACAATCACCATCACCATCACCATCCTCATCCTCATCCTCATCCTCATCCTCATCCTCATCCTCATCCTCATCCTCATCCTCATCCTCATCCTCATCATCATCATCATCATCATCATCATCATCATCATCATCATCATCCTCATCATCATCATCATCATCATCATCATCATCATCATCATCAGCATCAACATCAACATCAACATCATCAACAGCGTCATCATCAGCAGCAGCACCAGCATCAACATCAGCATCAGCATCAGCAGCAGCATCGTCGTCATCATCGTCACCGTCACGATCATCATCAGCAGCAGCAGCATCATCAGCATCATCATCATCAGCAGCATCATCAGTACCATCATCAATACAATCATCATCATCATCAGCATCATCATCAACATCCTCATCATCATAATCATCAACACCACCATCATCATATCATTATGATCGCTCGTCGTCACCATCGTCATCATCATCATCATCATCATCATCATCATCATCATCATCATCATCATCATCATCATCATCATCATCAGCATCAGCATCATCATCATCATCATCATCATCATCATCATCATCATCATCATCATCACCGCCATCATCATCAGCAGCAGCATCATCAGCATCATCATCATCAACGACACCACCCTCCTCCTCGTCCCCGCCCTCCTCCTCCTCCCATCACTCCTCGGCCTCCCCGGCCTCCTCGGCCTCCTCGACCCCCGCGCGGCCGCCGAGATCGCCCGGGACCCGCTCTCTCCGGCCGAGGCGGGCGCTGCGGCGGCGAGTCCGGGCAGAAGGCGGCGGCGCTCCCCCGCGGCTGCTGCTGCTGCTGCTGCTTGGTGGCGGCCTGGGCGCCTGGCAGGCGCGCGCCGCGCGGCCACTTGGGTGAAATCTGAAATGCCGTTTCTATGCATTTTCGAAGGAATTTGCAAAAGGTGAATCACAAGACGAATTGATTTTCGAGGTGCGAAAGCCCATATGGATTTCACCTTGAGCCCTCCACCCTAAGAAAACGCTCAGGTATAACGTCTCCTAAGCTACTCATGCCCCGCATTGCGCAGGGGTTGGGTACGTCGTCAGGGTAATTTTCTGACTATGTTTTGAATGTTCTTCCTGTAGAGGGACAGGCCCGCCTTAAGGCAAGCTGGGGGCAGAAAGGAGAGGTGACCTTATGTGTATCATGCGTGGGGGTGGGTTCAGCACAGGTTCCGCCCTCTTAGCGTCCAGCAATCTTATGCATTAGAGTGACGACCAGCGCCCATCAGCGCCAATCGGCGCCTATTCGTGTGTACTAGCACCTATCGGCGCCTATTAGCGACCACGAGGAAGCAGGAATAAATGTTAACAGACGGGAAAGGCAACAACTCATGCTGAGAATGAATACCACGCGTAACGCATAACAAATCTAAGAGAGGGGATGGGGCAAGCTAGGTGCAGAGAGGAGAAATGCCCCAACCTCCGCGGTATTGAAAAACATACGGGAATATTCAGCGTTGTCGGCCTCTGTGAGCCCTCGCCAGACCCTGGGACTGTCAAGAACAACTCAGGATGCAAATCTGGCCCTGGGGAGAGGGTCGGAATGTTCATGGACCCCGTACTGCAACCATAACGACGTCAGATGGCTTGGGATAAGCTAGGCGCGGTCGCGCCATCTCTGACGTCCTACCCCTCCCACCCATCCCTCCCCATGGCGCCAATGTTTGCTCTGGTCTGCGGACGTGTCCTAGCGGACCTGGAACTCCCTCAAAAAACAGATCCTGTGATGCGCAATCGGAAAAGAGGAACTGCGTACAGAAGAGCACGGGGGGAAGGAGGAGGAGGAGGTGGCGGATGAGCACGAGGATGGGCAGGAGGAGCGGGAGGAGGTCAAGGGAGGGGGTGGGAGGAGGACCAGCAGCAGTGGCTTTTGCAAGCGTTCCCCCCTGTCCCCAGCTTCCCTCCCCCCCTTCCCCCCCTCCCGCTTCCCCCCTCCCCTCTCTCCGCACGTCGCATTCTCGCCTGCGTCCCCCGTCCCCCCACCCCTCTAGCACCCCATGCCCACCCCCTCGCGCGCGCTCCCCCATCACTCCCAGTCGCCTCCCCCCCGCCTCGATCGCTCTCCCGCGACACTCCCCTTCTCATTTCCAGCTCTTGATCCCTTCCTCCCGGGCGTTCGAAAAAGCGAGGCAGGGCCAGGAGTGGGCCCAAGGCAACCTCGCGATGGGCAGTGCCCGAAAGAAGGAAGTGCCAAGTTCTGTATGGAGTATCCTGGATTCGCCCCTCCGACCCCACCTTGAGAAGCTCTTCCCTCCGAGAACTTCCAAACCTTCCCTCGGAGGACCACGTGAGACGGTGGCTCGTTCGCCTGGCCAAAATCCGTTCAAGATCGTTCGGGCCGTTCCCGGGGTCCATCCTGGCTAGCTCTTTGAGGCGGACCCAGCCGTGGCAACGGGAAGCCTCCAAGAGGCCCAGACAGGACCCTCCTCCGAATGTTTCAGGCGCGATTCGGCACGTTCGGAGCCCAGGCCTCAGGCGGCCGTTCGGGCATTCCCGGAACGTCCGTGCAGGGGAGCAGCCGATGGGAACCATCCCGGGTCCCGAACAAAACCTCCGAAAGGACTCACTAGAGAAGAAAGACGAGGATGCGGGGATGAAGAGGAGTGAGGAGGAAGTGAGAAGGAAGGAGACGAAGAGGAGGATAACAGGGAGGAGGATGAGAGAAAGGAGAAGGAGAAGAGGATGAGGAGGGGATGAGGGGAAGACGGAGGAGGAGGAAGAGGGGGAAGATGAGGAAGACAAGAAGGAGGAGCAGCTTAACCTTCTCCTGTTCCTCCTCCTCCTCCTCCTCCCCGTCCTCCTCCTCCTCCTCCTCCTCCTCCCCGTCCTCCTCCTCCTCCTCCTCCTCCTCCTCCTCCTCCTCATCATCATCATCATCATCATCATCATCATCAGCAGCAGCATCATCATCCTCCTCCTCCTCCTCATCCTCCTCCCCCTCCGCCTCCTCCATCTCCTCCTCCCCTCCTCCTCCTCCTCCTCCTCCTCCTCCTCCTCCTCCTCCGCCTCCTCCTCCTCCTCCTCCTCCTCCCCTCCTCCTCCTCCTCCTCCTCCTCCTCCTCCTCCTCCTCCTCCTCCTCCTCCTCCCTCCTACCTCCTCCTCCCCCCCTCCTCCTCCTCCTACTCCTCCTCCTCCTCCTCCTCCTCCTCCTCCCCCTCCCCCATCCCCCTCCCCCTCCCCTCCCCCTCCCCCTCCCCCCCCCTCCCCCTCCCCTCCCCTCGCCCCCCTCCCCCTCCTCCTCCCTCCTCCTCCTCCTCCTCCTCCTCCTCCTCCTCCTCCTCCTCCTCCTCCTCCTCCTCCTCCTCCTCCTCCTCCCCTCCTCCTCCTCCTCCCCTCCCCTCCTCCTCCTCCTCCTCCTCCTCCTCCTCCTCCTCCTCCCCTCCTCCTCCTCCTCTCCTCCTCCTCCTCCTCCTCCTCCTCCTCCTCCTCCTCTCCTCTCCTCCTCCTCCTCCTCCCCCCTCCTCCTCCTCCTCCTCCTCCTCCTCCTCCTCTCCTCCTCCTCCTCCTCCTCCTCCTCCTCCTCCCTCCTCCTCCTCCTCCTCCTCCTCCTCCTCCTCCTCCTCCCTCCTCCTCCTCCTCCTCCTCCTCCTCCTCCTCCTCCTCCTCCTCCGCCTCCTCCTCCTCCTCCTTCCTCCTCCTCCTCCTCCTCCTCCTCCTCCTCCTCCTCCTCCTCTCTCCTCCTCCTCCTCCTCCTCCTCCTCCTCCTCCACCTCCTCCTCCTCCTCCTCCCTCCTCCTCCTCTTCCTCCTCCTCCTCCTCCTTCTCCCGGCACCTCGCTTGGGACATCCTGACGGTCTGCTCTGGCCCCCCACACGATACCGTGGCCCCTGCACAGGAAATAGGGGAGCCTGGGCCGCCGGACAAGCTTACCGCCTGAGACAACCCCACAATCTGGCCGCGAAAGGCCAAGTATCCGAATCCCTGGAGACATCCTCGCAATCTGGTCTGAAAATGGTGGTGAAATCCAAACAACCAAACAGGCAAACCGCATCAAACATCCCCACAGTCTGGCCGCCAACGGTCCCGTGCTATATGCCCTGGCGGCCGCCCCTTTGGGGTGCTGACGCCAGCGCCTCGCTCGAGACATCCTCGCACACTGCTCTGAAAGCAGCGAAGTCCAAGCAACCAAACCAGCAAACCGCCTGGACATCCCCAGTGACCGCGAAAGGTCACGTGCAACACCACCTGGCGGCCCTCCTTGGGGAGTTGAAACCAGCGCCTCGCTCGGGACATCCTCACACTCTGCTTTGAAGGCGACGAAATCCAAGCAACCGAACAGGCAAAACGCCTGAGACATCCCCACAATCTGGCCACGAACGGTCCCATGCAACACCACCTGGCGGCACATCCTTGGGGAGTTCAAACCAGCGCCACGCTCGGAACATCCTCACAATCTGCTCTGAAGCGAAGAAATCCAGCCAACCAAACAGGCAAATCCCTGAGACACCCCCCCAATCTGCAAGTGAGTCTGATTGTGAGTGAAGTCTGAGCGCGAGTAATATGAGTGTGAGTGAGTCTGTGAGCGAGTGAGCCTGAATGTGCATAAGTCTGCGTGCGAGTGAGTCTTGCATATGACTGAGTCTGAGTATGACTGAGTCTGAGTGAGAGTGAGTCTGAGTGAGGAAGAAGCGGAGTGAGGGGAGAGGACGGAGGTGAGAGCTGGAAACGTCTGAGTCATAAGAGAAACCCCAGATGATGATAATCATCTGAAAAAAAGCGAGAGGAGAAATTCTCCCTCCCCCGTCCTAAGATCCATCGACGCGACCAAAATGAAACGCCGTGAAAAAGCACGGCCAGAGCCCTGGACCTCATCTCTCTCTGGCATCGTTCGAGCCAGGGTCAAGCTGTGAGGGTCCCGGGGCCCGAAACTGGACGAAAACGCCAGGTGTGGAAAAACTGCAACGCCCGGATCTCGGGCCATGCTGCTTCCACCTCGCCGAGAGACGGACGACGACGACGACGACGACGACGACGACGACGACGACGACGACGACGACGACGACGACGACGACGAATACGACGACGAATACGACGACGACGACGACGACGACGACGACGACGACGACGACGACGACTGACGACGACGACGACGACCGACGACGACGACGACGAGCGACGACGGCGGCTCGAAAAACACTGCGGCGCCAGGACCTCGGACCCGCGGCAAGCCACCGACCTCCTCTGGGCGCACGCCAGCTCGGGGCGGCGGCAACGCGCGTGGGCGGCAACGCGCGTGGGCTCGGGGCGGCAGCGCGCGCGGGCGCCCGCGTCGCCCGGCGCCCGCCGGCCGGCGGGCGTCCGCCGGCGGCCTCACGGCTCATGGCGCCCGGCGGGTCAGCAGGTAGGCCGCCTCGTAGAAGTGGTCCAGGCCCCGGTCCTCTGGCGCGGCGGGCCCGCGCGCAGCCTGACTACCTACCAGACCACCCCAACCCAACCCGAAGACCCGAATTTCGGGTTGGGGGGGGGGTAGGGGTTCCACATGTGTTTTTTCAATGTTTCCCGACCCACCCCCCTGGAAATCGAGGGTAAATCTGAGCCTTCGGGTTGGGTTGGGGTGGTTTGGTGGGTGGTGACAGCCCCCGCTCGCCGGCGAAGCACGGACCCGTGGCCGCAGCCTCGCGAGCCAGGCCCCCGGGCCGCGGCCCCGCGGCTGCGGGCCGCTGCTTCGGGGATGCCCCGCGCGGAACGCAGCCGGACGACAGGGCATCTCCGCGGGATCGCGCCCCAAAAATCGGACCACGAGGGCGCGGATACGCACATGCTCGCCACTCGTGAGCTGCCACTCGCCAGTCCCCTGAGAGGGGGCCCTGGAAACGACAAGACCAATTTTTTGTCTGACCGGTTCCGCTGTTTTCACTGCTTGTTGAAGCTTCCGGCGCCGCTGTTCTGTTGTCGGTTCCGGCGCCGTTGTTTTACCGTTGTCATTTTCCCCAGGTGGGGGCCTGGTCCAAATCACAGTCTTCTGCCAGATCCGAACCATATTCGAATAGTTTGGAACTTCCTTCGGATCGCCCAGACTGCCCAGGCCGTTTCGGGAAACTGTTTTCTTACAGTTTCGATAAATGATTGTCGGTGCGGTCTGAGAAAGGTTAAAGTAAGGCCTTGCCGTTTCCAGAGCCCACTAAGGGTCAGACCCATCCTGGGACCAGGAGCTGTGCATACGCCCTCCTTGCCTGGGCAGGGAAGGATGCACACCACCCCTGGACCCAGGATGGGCCTGGCCAGGGGCAATGACTGTGTAGATTTCGTCGCCCGCCGTCCCGCATGCGCATCGGACCCGAGTCGATCGTGTCCTCTGGGCGGCCATCGCATGCAAAGAGCAACGACTGCATGAGCATAAACGCCCGGAGAAGTCCTCGCGGAGGCCCTTCGATCGGCGCTGGACAGCCCTAGCGCGTATGCTCATTCAAACAATTACGCTCGCAGTGGGTACGGAAAGGATGGATACGAAGACCAACAGCGGTTCCTGCACATTTTGAACGGGACTCGCTATGGGCGTCGCCGAGGACGTTGCCCATTCGAGACGAAAAAAACGCCTGCCCAACAGCGATCGCTGCCAGCATGGGACGACAATTGCTGTTGGGCATTGTTCCCCCTGGTTTCGATGCCCGTGTCGGGTGTGCCGATCACTGGGGAGACCAAAAGGAACCGATACCGCTGCGCCCAGGACCTCTTCCGGGGCGCGTTCTGGCCAGAATCTCGAGACGAATCCAGCCACGGCCTCCCAGGAGGCTGAAAAAGGCGAAAACGAGGGAAGGGCCTAATCAGGCACCGGTACTGGAGGGTCGTGCCGTGACGACCCCAGTGTTGGTTCCTGACGCCGCGTGGATCGTCCAACCTTGAACGGCTGGAGGCCTTTCGCGATCGCCAAATGGCTCCATATCGGCCGATTCTGGGACACTGGCGGCGTTCAGCCTTCCACGTCCGCGGCGGACTCGCCGCCGCGTCGACACGACGCGAACCTACCGAACCGTTTCCCTCCGCTGACTCATGCGAGTCCTGCTTCGAGCGTGGTGGGGCCTGCCCCTGCGGGTCGGGCCTCCGAAGCACCAGCGGGGACCGATGACCAGGGCGCAGCGGAGGTGGCCCGGGGGTCCAAAGTAAATGGAGCCCCAGAAAGTCCATCAAAAAAGGGGGGGGGGGGGACGAGGCCAGTTCCGCCCTAAAAAAACTTCCCAGACCCCTCGGGGGATCCATCTGGGCCAGTTTTTCACCCCCGATCCGCTTCTGACCGTCCCGGGACCCGAAAACGGCCCCCAGAGGCCGACAGAAGGCACAAATCCTCGGCGCAGCCAGGCCCTCGGGCCTCTTCTTCTCCTCTTCTGCTCGCTGGAACCAGCGTCAGGTCGGGCATGTCCCCCGACAGGGGGATTCTGGACGATCGGGGATGGACAGACTCCCCTTTAGTAAAACGTGGTTTAGTAAAAACGACCTGAGGCCCAAACCTGGCGGGCGCAAGCCTGGAAAATAACGGCCACGGCGCCATCTCGAGAACCGAAAACGGACGATTCACTAATCGTCGTGTCACTGTTGGGGGTTCTGTCCACCCCCGAGACGAACATTTTGGAGCCAAAAAGATAATGGCCCCCCAGACTAACTATTTTGTTACTCTTTTTGGAACACTCCTCCTGTAGAGGGACACGCCCGGCTCAAAACCAGCGCTGGGCCGCCTCCGCCCCCCCAGCCGGCAGTGCCCAGCGCCCTGCGCGGGCCCGGGCCCGCGCCATGGGAGGGCCCGCCCGTGGGGGCGGGGCGCGGGGTCTCCTCGCGGCAGAGCAGCCGCACGTCGAAGGCGCCGCCGAAGTGGGCGCGCACGTCGGCCTCCGTCACCTGGAACGGGGGGCCTGAGGGGGGGCTCGGCGGTGGACGGGCCTTTAAGTCGGGCCTGTCCCCCTACAGAGGGGCTTTCGACGAAAAACAAAAAAACATAATCAAAAAACAACCCAAAAATAGTCCGGGGACTATTTGTTTAGTATTTGTTTGACCTTTTTCGACTATTGTTGGGGTACTTTTTATTTTTCGTCGAAAATCCCCCTGTAGGGGGACACGCCCGACATAAACAAACCTCCCTTTAGTAAACCTCCCCGTAGTGAAAACGGCCTGGAACCGAAACCGACGGACCTGGACCCACAAAAAATGACGGCCGCGGCGCCCTCTCGCGAACCGAAAACGGCCAATTCGCCAATCGACGTGTCTGGGCAGGAGGTCTGTCCACCCCCGAATGGGGAGCGACTCGGGGGGGAGGGCAGCTCTGGGGGGGGGCAGACACTGCGCCTGCACCGGCGAATCCCAGACGGGTCGGCGCGGTGGGCCACCGGCAGCGAATCTGGATGCTCCTGAGGGCGCTGTGGCCAATCGGTCCCCACATCGGCGATCACTGGGCGATTGAGGGTCAATGCATCACCCCTGGGTTAGGTTTCCTGGACATACCTCGGAACGGTTCCAGCAACTCCGGAACGCTCTCGACGAGGCGCAGCTGATGGAAACGAAACCTCCGATCTGAGGGCTCATGAACTCCGGCGGCGCGCCCGAGGCACACCGAGGGGGGAAGTGAGAGGGGGCCTTCCTTCTCAGAAGGCGGCGGGGCTTCTGAGTAGCTCCCCGGCCTTCTGAAAGACCGCCTCTGCTTCCGGGGGAGCTGTAGAACACTTCTCAACAGGCCGAAGGCCCTCCGAGCCTTCTGAGAAGGCCCGCCCCCTCTGCACTCCCCCCATGGGCTCGCCGCCGATGGCTGGCCCATCCCCCATCCCCATCCCCGGTCGTCGCTCCCGGGGGCCGAGGACGCCGTCCGCAAAGGGCGCGTGCTCGCAGGTGACGAGGAGCACACGGCCGCCGGGCGCCAGCAGCCCCGCGAGCACCTCCGCGTAGCGCGGGCGGTCCGCGGGCGCGATGGCCACGAGGCTCGCCCGGTCGAGCGCCGCGTCGAAGGGCACCAGCGCCTCGGCCTCCGCGGCGCCCAACTCCAGGAAGTCCCCCCGCACCAGGATCACCGGCGGCGCCGCCTCCGTCCTGCGGCGGCGCGCCAGGGGGGGGGGAAGCATCCTGGACATGCTCGCCTCTTGGGAGAAACAAGACGGAAGGTGCTTAACCGTTTTCGGCCTCCGGGGGCCCTCGCCGAGCCTCGGGACCGTCAAAGAACTACGTACTCGGGATGAGAAGCTGGCTCTAGGGAAAGGGTCAAGGCATCGCATGTCTGGGGTATACGGTTTCCCCCGGGGCCGTTGGCGACCTGAGGAGGAGGAGGAGGAGGAGGAGGAGGAGGAGGAGGAGGAGGAGGAGGAGAAGGGGGAGGGGGAGATGGAGGAGGAGGAGGAGGAGGAGGAGGAGGAGGAGGGAGGAGGAGGAGGAGGAGGAGGGATGAGGAGGAGGAGCAGGAGGAGCAGGAGGAAGACGGGTCGCCTAAGCCCTTCGGAGAAACCCTCCAAGCTGGCTCTGAGGGAAAGGGTCACGAGAAAGCTCAGAGGGGGCACACGGAGAGAGCTCCCTGAGCCCGCTCCGAAGCCCCGCCGCCTGCCGAGAAGGCCTGCCCCCCGTCGCTTCTCCCCTCGGCGCGCTCTAGTGGCCTCCCAGATGGGGTCCGAGTGGATGGGGTCGGAGGATCGCGCCGCAGCGCCGATGCATCACCGAAGCAACGTCGGCGATGCATCGGTGACGTCGGCGTGGGGGGAAAATCGGGCTCCGCATCGAGCCGCATCGCCGATGCATCGGCGATGCGGCGCGATCCTCCGACCCCATCCACTCGGACCCCATATGGGAGGCCACTAGAGCGCCGTCTCCGTCCTGGTAGCGGTGTCCGCGGGGTCGGCACCAATAACCGCTGCCCTCACCTCGAAGCGCTCGGGGCTCATGGCGGGCGGCATGGTGACCACCATAGTGCGGCCGCCGCTCGGCAGCTGTATGGCGTGCTCCTCCGCGAAGCGGTCGAACGCCGCGGCGACGCCGTCCACGCCGACGACGCGGAAGCCCTGGCGGGCCAAGAAGGCCATGTCCACTGTCGCGCCACACAGGGGCACAAGCACGCGCCTGCCCATCCCGGGCGGCGTCTCCACTCCTCTGGAGGTCGGAAAGGAGTGTGGCATAAATCAAGGGGCCCAAAGATACACAAATAAATACACACAAATAAGAATATCACCCATATTTTCGAATATGTTCTGGGTTTTGTCTTCCCGCCAAATTCCAATGGTTTCCCATATTCTCTTGGAGATCGACGATGGGTTGTGTCTGTGTGTTTTTGTCCCTCCTGAATAAAGGGGGGGGCGCCGATCGTGGAAATGGCGATGTTATCTACGATAGATAACCTCGCCAGACCCATCATTGGCACCACCACCCCTTACACACCACACCCCTTTCCTGCCTCCAGAACTCCGGGCTGAGGGGGCAGCATCTCCGCCAGGTACCGGCGAAGGAACGGGTTGACGTCTGTCAGGTGCCTCGGGAGGACCGGGACGCCTCGCCCAAGGGGTGATGTATACCGTCGGGGCGTTGACCTAAGGAACCCTAAATTAGGAACGAGGCCCCTTCTTCCACAAGATAAACTTCGATTTCCCATAGATAAACCTCAGGAACACCCAAGGCACAGTGCAAAACAGCAAAGGAGCACGGGTTCCTTCTTCAGCGCCCCGACTGCATCCTACTCTGGCGCCGCACTCGGCCACTGTGCCAGCCGCAGTGTGCGTCGAAACCATGCGTCCGAGCCAGCCGAGTGTGGGCCCCGAGACCCTCTCTCCAGGGTACGTCTACCCTCGAGTACGGCAGGCTCAGGTCGCCGCGGCGCGGGCGTGACTTTACGACAGCATCGTGGATCGATCCCAGTCTTGAACGATCGCCACTTCCTGGTGCCCCGAGCTGCTCAGGCGGCTGGTGAAGCTCAACCTCGAATTGCCGCGCTGGCATCTCCGCCGCGCCAACACAAGACATGAGCCTACCAGATTGTAACGGAAGTATGGCGACCCCAATCCCCGACTCTGTGGGGTCTTCGGCCAGGAAATCGGAGCACAACTCGGAGATGTACGATTGGGGGCGTCTATGCCCGATAGGGGTACGTCCGAGTAGGCTCCCAGGTGTGTATCCCCGAGTCCCCCAGCTTTTCAGAAAGGAACGATTTTTCGGAGGGAGCTCGAGGATTGCGAGGGGCCGAGAAATCGCCCGCGACAGAAGTTTGGTCTCCCCCGAGTGCCAGCCCAGCTGGTTGCTGTCCCACCTTCAGGGTGCGCCGAAGATGGGGGCCAGGACGAGGGTTATGTTGCTTCCATCGCACTTAAGGACCACATCCCAGGAATGATTTCGAGCACCCGGAAAAGTGTCGCAAGAGTGTCGAAACAGTGCCGGACGAGCGTCTCCCGGGGCCCGACGCGTAAAAACCCTGGAGTTTCGGCACTTGCTTTCCCGGTGCTCGAAATTCTTTCTGGTGGTCAGGGCTGGAGCGGGTTGGAACATCACGAGACGAGCGGGGGGGCTGGGCGCATCGCGGCCCGAGGCAGCTGCGCGGACCAGGGAGGGCCGGGGAATGCCTGCCGACGGAAGACGCGGTGGCCACGAAAGGTCGGGGGGCTGCCGTGGCCCCAGCCGTGATGACCCCCCAAACCTTAGGTCGGGCGCATCTCCCTAGAGGAGGATTTGGGAGGAATCAGAAACAGGCAAAGCATGCTCAAGAGAAAAAATCAGAGGCGGTCAGAACATCGTCCTCGGACCAGTTGTCTTGACTGCTTCTGGATGGCCCTCCTGCAGAGGGACGCGCCCGACTCAGCCCAAACCCCACCGGCCCCGAGGGACGGACCCGCTCGGGGGGAGGGAGCGTCGACCTGGACTGGCCAGCAGCACGTCTAGGGGGCCGCATGCGAGCCCTACCCCTGCCCCCCACGATTTCTGAGGGGGTGGGGTTCACTTCGTTCGGGAGCTCCCAAGCGAAGTGAACCGCACCCTCCCCCTCAGAAATCGTGGGGGGCAGGGGTGGGGCTCGCATGCGGCCCCCTGACGTCGCCGACAGACTGGCGACAGGCTCCCGGGGGGCAAAACCTCCCGCACGCTCCCGGGCGGGGTGGGTGGGCTGGCCCCCCCCCCACGTCGGGGGCGCGCAGGCGTGGCAGCCGCGATCCATGGATTTGTTACCAGCCTGGAACATATCCCTATCCCTATGCTGGGCACCTCCTCATCACGATGCCAATCTTAGGGATTCCCTTACTTTTTGAGGGCGGATCCCTAAGATTGTCATCGCCTTTTGGCGTGTCAATCTTAGGGATAGGGATACGTTCGAGGCTGGTAAAGTTGGCGCGCCTCCCCAGAATGCGGCCGGGGCCGCCTCGCTCGGCGGCGGGAATCCGCGATCTCCGCTGGAAACGGGGCCCGTCGCCAATCCACGCCCCCTGGGTCCAGGTTTGCGATGGCCTGAAGGTCGGCGTTCCGGGGGCGATGGGGGTCGATGCCGTTCCCCCTGAGCCTATCCCTCCATAACGTTGCCCCTGAAGCCCCCCTGCCAGACATCCGACGTCTTGATTTTTGTCCGTGCGGAGTTCCGGGAAGTCCCGACCCTTTCCCCAAGGCTGGCTTGCCGTCTTGAGCCGTTGTTTGACTGTCCTGGGGCCCGACACTGGCCTCCGAGGGCAGACAGTAAAGAAAAACTGGCCGTCTCTATTTCTGGACGCCTGGGCTCTAGGAGCCAACACACACCGATACTGCTACTCCGCAGACCTCTCCCGAGGTGCGATCTGGCCAGGATCCTGGGGCGAATCGAGTAGTGGCGGCAAAAGCCTCCCGGGAGGCCCCAAAGGGAAAAAACACGAGGGGGGGGGGGGGGGGGCAGCGGTAGCGGCATGCTGTTCTCCTCTGACCCCCTGTCCTCACCCCCCTCTTGGGCGCCCCCGACACCTCTTCTGCCACCTCCGGAGGAACAGCAAGCGGCATAAACGTAGACTGTCGGAGGCTCGTGCGGACTTCTTGGATCGGCGCTGGCCCCCTCCCCGGCGCGCGGAGCGCGCTGGGGGCGGCGCCGGAGGCGCCACCGGGAGGGCCCGGCGCAGATTCGAGAAAGCCGAGCGGAGCTCCGAACGTGCATGGATCGAACGTCGATCGCTGGTCTGCATTTACAGTCAAGACGTGTACAGTCGAGGCGTTGACCTGAGGAACCCTAAATAAGGAACGAGGCCCCTATTTTCCATAAGTTACACTTCGATTTCGTATCGAAGCCCTAAGGAAAATCCAAGGCAAGCTGCGAAACAATTAAGGAACACGGAGCCCCTCCCCAACGAAAAGGGTTCCTTCTTCAGGGCCCCGACTGTATTCAGGACGGGCGGCAAGAACGCAGGACCCTTGGAGGCCGAAATTGGGGCTGTTTGGGCGGCGGGCGACCAGTGGAAACGGCAAATGGCGGGCCGCAGCGGCAAGGACACAAGGGCAATCCAGATGAAGGCGCCCGTCCCTACTAGGCGCGTTGACTGTATGCATTGAGCAGGGACCGACCGTCCCGGCATTCCTACAGGTCTACCGCGACATGGTCTTAGAACCCCAGTGTTCTAAGAACCAAAAAATGCTCTCAGAACAGAAGACCGACGCGCTAAAACAAAACAGCCTTAGCGCCAGAAATGCTCCCAGAGCACCTCGCGCAGACCGCAACTAAGTCTTGGAACATGCTCTTTGTATGGCCCACAGGCGAGCCGGGACGCTTCGCCACTGCTCGAATGCGGCTGCTCCCTCTCCCAACCTGTCCAGCCGGGCCGGGGCCGCCGCCGGGGCCGGCGGCGCGGCCTCCTCGCAGGCGGGGGAGGCCCGCGCCGCGGCCAGGGAGGCGGCCGCCGCGGCCGCGGCCACGGCGCACGAGAGGCCCGCCGAGGCACGAAGCAAGCGGGGGTCCGGAGGTCGCTGGGGGCCTGGGAGTGGGCAGCGGCACCAGCACGGGGGGGGCTGCCTCCACGGGGGCGAGATGATCCTAGACTTCGGTGTGGGTGGCAGTAGTTCGGCCACTGACAAGCCCGAGCATTACCACCGTCACCGAGATCGGGAGCAGCTCCCCTCAGGGGAGGCACACCGCCAATCTTGGTGTTGGTGTCAACCTCCAGGCCTGCGAGTTGTATACAATCTTCGCGAGGGTAGCCCAGAGGTCGCACAAATCAAGGGGGCCCAGGGACACACAAATGAACACACACACACACACACACACAGATCCCCGGATCCCCCACACCTTCCCACATCTTCTAGGTTTTCGCCTTCCCCCCCGACCTCCAACACTTTCCCATACCTTCGTGGGAGTCGCCGACGAATCGTGTCTGCGCGTCTTTCCCCTCCTGGGCTGTATATAATCTTCGGGAGTAGCCCAAGGGGAGGGGGGGGAAGGTGCTGGCGGGGCGAGGTCGTGAGGAGGCAGCTCCTCTGGGGGACCACATGTGAGCCCTACCCCCACCCCCCACGATGTCTAATTCGGAGTCCCGAAACGGTGCGGTGACAGACCGTGCGGTGACCTCGAAATCCCCCAAGACTTCACCGCACGGTCCGTCACCGCACGGTCTTGGGACCTCGGATGCCCCAATCGCCCGACACGTCCTCGGAGAACGAATGGCCCCCTTGGGGTTTATCCCAGAGTTCCCCCCTTCTTCCGAGCGGCCAAACTTTTCGGGCGGAACTCGGGGAGTGGGGAAGGGAAATCGCCTGCGAAGGGTCGCCGCCGATCTCCGGTCAGGCCCCGTTTGCTTCGTGGCGAGCCCGCGGGGGAGGAGGCGCTGGCGGCGCCGCCCGCGCCCGCGGCGCCGCCGCGGCGCGGCGGGGCCCTCCGCGGTCGGTCGCCGCCGCGCGGCGGCAGGCATCCCGCGGCGCGGGCTGCCGACGCCGCGGCGACGCGGGCCGCGGGCGCCAGGGGGCGCTGCAGCGGCGCCAGGGGCAGCATCGGTCGGGGGGGAAAGTTAGGAGGCAACTGCTGCGAGGTCGTCGGGGGCTGTTACGCTGGACAGGGCCTCGGATTGAGCGGGATACAGCCGGATTAAGCGTACTAAGCCAGATCAAGCTGGATTAAGCGGGATTAAAACGGAATGAACCGGATTTCGGACCAGGGCAAAATCAGAATTTGAGCTCCAAGGAGTTGCATCCGCAGGCAAGGGTAGGATGGCAGAGGGCAAGGTAGAGAATCAGCTGACGGAGCCGGCGTTCCTGGCGCCTCCTGGAACGGCGCAAGGGGCAGCATCGGTCGGTCGGGGGGGGGCGAGAAGGTAGGATAGCAGAGGGCAGGGTAGAGAATCAGCTCACGAAGCCGGCTTTCCTGGCGCCTCCTGGCGCTAAAGGCGCTCAGGTGTCGAAGAATGGTCCCAGCGGCGGGGCCGAAACCAGCTGCATGCCGCAACTTTCTTAAACCCCCCCTGCCCTATCCTGTGTATCGTCGGGCCCGAGTCGGGGATGGGAGGAGGTTGGAGGGAGGAGAGGTGACTAAACTTAGGTCGGGCATGTCCTCCTACAGGCGGATGTCGCAACACTGTTTTAATACAAAGTCAACCAATGCTCCACAATAGTCAAAGATAATCGGAAAAAAAAGGCTGTGTCTAGACTATTTTTGAATATTCATCCTGCAGAGGGACACGCCCGACTCACAGGGCAGTTTTTAACGCATGGGATGTTTTAGAACATTGGATGTTTAGTACATGACGCGTTATGAGTAAAATTATGCATGGACTCATCGTTGCTTCTAATACGAAATCCCTGCATTGTAATAAATGATCCGCACGCGGAGCATGTATTAAAAACTGCGCTGTAAGACTAAACCCAGACCTCATCGGGATCGACAGATCCCTGACGCGGAGGTGTTCGTCGTTGTCGGCCTCAGCGGGCCCACGCCGGGCCCCGGGACCGTCGGGAAAAAGAAGCTCGAGATGCAGGTTTTTGTTTGGTCACAATTGACCGAACCAGTTTCAAGTTGGCCGCACAGCGGCCCACAAGACTGGGCGACGGAAAGAAGCAGGAGGCCACAGCTCACACCTCCCCAAGGGGAGGGGGCCTTGGCCAGCCGCCTCTCAACACGCCTCAATCTGATCCCGAATCGTGGCCATCCTTGACCGCGCCTGCGACCAGAGGAACGTTATCCTCCTCTTCCCGCAGGCTGTCCACCACACGCCGGAGCATGGACCTGGGATCAGCTGGAGCACAGGACGCCGACGCATGGGGCGTGTCCACGCTCTCAAACATAAAACGGGAAGCTTCATCATCTGCTTCGAACATGTCACCGAGTGGCTGAGGATCAGGCCTGGGCGACCTCACCTCAGCCGAAGACCGACGTGGCACTCCCCCACCCACTCCCCGCTCCACCGCGCCCGCTTCCTTCTCGGCAACACGCGCACGCAGAGCAGCTAGCCTATCAAGGTAGCTGGCATGAGCTGGAATCCGCACAGGCCGCACGGCCTGCTCGTACGAATTAGCCTATTCGAGAGTGAGTGGAGCCTCTTGCTCCGCACAAGTGACCGTCAGCTCTTTCTTAGGGTGCAAACCTCTTCGCAACCTTCTGAGAGCCGTAGTGCCAGCGTTGCTCCTTTCCTCGTCCGCGCGAGGCTGAACGCTTGATTAATTTGAAAATCCTGTGTTGGGCGAAGTATCCGCTCAGCATTCAGAAGAAGAGTGGCTTAGACTGGTTAGCCACTCGGGTGGAGGCCAACTGGTGGCCGTGTTGAGGGGAAGTGGTCAAGAGCTCCTTCACCCTCGCAGGGAACCCCGAACAACCCGCCTCGGGTCTCGCTTCGTTCGTTCCAACATAAAACTTCAAACAGCTACTGCATCTGGAGCCCCACAACCAAGGCTCCCAAGAATGCCAGCCACCGTTTTTTATCAAAAAGTTTAACAGGGCGCTCTTGCTTTGGCGGACGCTGATGCTTGACCCTTGGAAAATGTGGGAGGATCCCCGCAGCGAGACGCGCCACCGTTTGCAGATGCTCAATCGAGCTACTGACCGCATCGGACTCGGCGCCCGACGGTTGAGGATGCAAACGGATTGCTGCCTTGGTTTCCTGATCCGCCCGCCAATTAGCCTGGCCGATCCACCTCTCAGGGGCAGGGAGCGCATCTATTATACTTAGCTCTCTGTGCGCCTTGGTGAAAACAGCTGGGGCATACGTATTATCAACCATGTGCTGCAGCGCTCCTTTGCGAAGGCCCAAGTACTTGTGTTTGTGACTGAGCTGTTGAGGAGGTATACTGTTGTGTAATCGTACAGCATTCATACAATCGCTATAGCACGCATCACCATACCGCGGCACGAAAATGGGCAAGAGGCTACGTTGCAACTGCTCGGCTGCCTGGCTTGTCTGCGGAAGTGAAGGCCAGACTGTGCCCTTAGCCGTCGCCACCTGCTGCCCTTCGGGGCCAATGAATACCCACGAATACACTGCCCTGGAGAGCTCTTTGATGACATGGGGAACGCAGGACCCGTCTCCAGGGACACTCAACCCGGTGGTGTCGAAATCGTTCCAGGCTAAGGGCGACCCGTCCGCGGCGAACAGCTTGGGTTCGTGCTCGTCGCTGAGCGGCGGCCACGAGCTAGCAGGGTGGCGAAACTTGTGTGCTGTATAGAACTCGCTGGGGCCTTGTTGCACCTGCTGGTAGAAGAAATCATTGGCCTCAACGGCCGCACGGGCCGCACGGACCTCAGGACTGCCCTCACAGTGGTACAATCTATGTTGCAGTGAGTCAGGCTGGTTGCAGAGCGGGCACAATCCCGACGACAAATTGCCCGCTTTGACAGCACGATCCTCGCACCAGCATCCATTACAGAACATGAACCTGACCATATACTTGCCTTGAGCGTTAAGCCCAATCCCCGTACCCGAAGCCTTAGTGATACGACGGATCGGCTCAACGCACACACGCTCCCCTTCCCCCCATCCGATTTTGGTGGCCAGGGACGTCTTATGATGCCTCTGGACTCCTTCACGCAGAAGGGTCCCTAACATAGCTGGGCAGTTATATAACAACGAAAGTTCAATTCCCTTGTCATCTTTCCACAACAACGGTCCCAGGGCTTCCCAACCAATACGCTGGAGTGACAAAAACATGCGACTAATGGGGGCCCTCGAGTTCTTCCACGTGAGACCGTCCTTCGGCACCGCCAGCCACATGTTGCGAAGCTCGGGGATCGTGAAGAAGGCGAGCGCTGGCTTTGTTGTCGTTTGCCAAACGGCAGAGGCCCATGCTAAGGCAGGCGCGACCATGCTGCGCCAAACTGGATCACCGTGCAGCACAGTCTTCGCCTGAATCGAAACTCCCGCGTGAGCGGGCGAAAAGAAAGACAGCATAACCGACCTGATCTTTTTGAGTTCAGCGTCGGTGCAGCCTGTGACAGTATCCCCGAAAGACACCGCGGGTCGGACTCCAGCTCGAGATGCAGGGCCGGCCCTGGAGAGGAGGAGGAGGAGGAGGAGGAGGAGGAGGAGAAATGATCGGGGGAGGAAGGGACGGAGGGAGGAGAGAAAGGAAGGAAGGAAGGAAAGAAGGGAGGGAGGGACGGAGGGAGGGAGGGAGGGCGAAGGAGGTCGGAGGAGGGCGGAGGAGGAGGAGGAGGAGGAGGAGGAGGAGGAGGAGGAGGAGGAGAAAGGGTCGGGACTTCCAGAGACCCCGTACTGAACGAATCACGACACCGGGCGTCTGGGGATGGGGGCACGCCAGGCGCGCTCGCGCCGCATCTGACGTCCTGCCCCTGCCATCCATCCCTTCCGATTGCGCACACTCTTCTCCGTGCGCCGGCGGGTGTCGCAGCGGACCTGGAGCCCCCACGGACCCCACCGTGTTGGGCGCTGTCTGAACAGGGGAGCCGCATACCAGTGGAGGAGGAGGAGGAGGAGGAGGCGGTGGCGGCGGAAAGAGGAGGGGGGGGAGCAGAAGACACCGTTTGCTCTCCCGAGCGTCCCAACCTCCACGGCGGGAAGTGGCTGCCAAACTAGCCCTGGTCTGGAACGTGAAACGGCCAGGGCTCAAGGGCCAGGCCAACCCCCGCTGGCGGCGATGAGAGGGGGAGGACGAAGGGTAGAGGAGGACAAAGAACGACGAGGGCAAAGGAGGGAGGACGAGGACGATGAGCGAGGATTGCGAGGAGCGGGAGGAGAACGAAAGAAACGAGCAAGGAGGACCGAGGGAAGGCTGGACCGCACGCCGTACGGAACACTGCGGGCGCCGAGCCAGCGCGGCAGCCTGACCCCAGATGGCTACGGGCACCTGTCCGGACGAGGAGAAAAGAGGTGAGAGGAGGCAGGGGGGAGAACAAAGACGACAAGGAAGAGGGAGAATGAGGGAGGGGGGCCAGGAAGTGCAGAAATAGTCAAATCGGTGCGTTCGGGAAGCCTCAAAGTTGGCAGGGTGCGGAGCCCAATTGATCCCCAAATCGGCCGATACTCCCGGCTGAGGTGCCAGAGAAGAGCCGAAGCAGGCAGCTGCATGTGAACCCCACCCCTGCCAGTACGAATCCTGGGGGGGGGACTGGGGTTCGGAAATTAGCAGCGATCGCGGGAAAAGCGAAACGCCACCAGTGAGCCCTGGTCACAACTGATGGGCGGTGGGTGTTGAGGTCTGAATGGTGTCAGCAGCTCATTCCAAGCATCCTCCCAACCCCAGTATCGAGGGCTGGAAGAGGGTGCCAGCCACCCCCTTGTGAGCGTTGCTTTATTCGGCGTTTCGACATTGGGAGGAAGGGGGGGGGGGGCAAGGGGGGGGGGGTCTGGCTCCGGACCTCTGCTTCGAGCGACTGTTTGCAGCAGTGCGCTCATCATGGGGGAGGCTCCGCCTGCTCGAAACAGGCGCCAACAAGACCCACTCCAGGGGGTGGGGGTGCAGGGCGGGGGTGCGAGGGCCCGCGCCGATCGGCAAACCAACGAGTGAAAAAAACGACCCTCGTGTGGGCGCCAGCGAGCACCCCTCCTCTCGTGCCTCCTCCAGCTCCCCGTCGGCCCTGCTGGCCTGTCTTCCCGCCGGCGGCGGGCCGGTCGCCGGGGATCTCCCGGAACTCGAGCTGCACGGTGGGGCCCTGCATCAGGAGCCTCGGGGCGGAGGGAGGAGCAGGCGGGCGGCGTGGTGGGCTCAGAAGGGAAGATGGCGAAGGTGACGAGGCGCAGAAGGACGGGGATGACGAGGACGAGGCAGGAGGAAACAGGAAGATGGCGGTGAGGACGGCGCACATGGGGAGGGGAGGCGGCGGAAGAGAGGGTCCAGATGCAGAGAAGCAGCGACCTAAGCACAGGAGGGGCGAGGCAGGACGAAGATCAGGGAGAAGGCAGAGGCGACGGGGAAAAGAAAGAGAAGAATGTGGGGGGAGGGCGAAATGGATGGAAGGGTTCTGATGAAGTCATTCAGAGTCCTAGACCCACAAAGGGAAAGAGGAGGAGGAGGAAGGGGATGAGGACGAGGACAAGGAGGGGGAAGAGAAGAAGGAGGGGAAGAAAGAGGAGGGGGAGGACAAGACACGACAAGACAAGACAAGACGAATCGATCCCAACACGCCGTCAGCTGCGCAGCACAAACTCGCGATCTGGCTCCGCCGGACGAGGGCGCGTACGGCGGCTAAGATAAATGGCGACCCTGGCTCTTGCATTACGTCGGGCATGTCCCCCTAAAGGCAGATATTGAAGGAACAATTGAAAATATTCAAAAATATGCAAAATATGCTCAACAATACTAACAAATCGTCCCCTGACTATTTTTTACTCTTTTTGAATATTCAAAAAATCGTCCCAAAACTATTTTTACTATGTTTGAATAATCCTCCTGTAGAGGGACCGGGATAAGACCGACTTAACTCTTGCACGATCAGGTCGCGAAAGCGCAGGAACCGGGGCCAGGGGCAGATCAGGGGAGGGGCGACGGACCAAGATCGTCGCGAAAACCAGGGCCAGAGAGGGCGAGGAGGACGAGTCCAGGGTTAGGTCGGGCAAGTCCTCCTACAGGCGGACTTTTGAGGAACAAATTTTTTAAAAAAATGCCACACACACACACACACACACACAACAAAAAAAACTCCAGCATTGACAAAAATAAACAAAACATCGTCCCCATGCAATTGTTTCTATGTTTGAAGATTCCTCCTGTGGAGGGACAGGCCCGACTTCAGTCCAGGGCCAGGTTAGGCCAGGGGAGAGGGGGGCGAGCGACGACCTCCGCGAACGTCGAGAGCCACGAGTTCGAGAACACAGCTGCGCAGGAGAAGAACCTCCCAGCCGACACTGGAGCCCTCAAGAGGTCCCCAAGGCTCCCCAGGGAGCCCCCCGAGCGGAAATCCGAACTGACGTGTCGAGCCCTCTCCCGAAAGATGGCCCCCCGAGACCGCCAGCAGGGCCCCGAGAGGCGCAAAAGACCCACCCACCCCAAGAGGCCCCAGGAGGCCCCCATGGGGCCCCGAGCTGGAGGTCCCGAAAGTACCGCCAAGAGGCCGCCGAGAGGGACTCTTCCTCTTGGGGGTCTCTGAGTCTCTTGGGACCTCTCAAAGGCCTGTTAGGCCCTCCCTGGGGCCTCCTGGGGGCCTCATGGGGCGGAAGACTCGGATGTTCGGTGCGTGCTCCCCCTCTTGGGCAGGCTTGGGCGCCTCTGGGGCCGTCTTGGAGCCCTCCGGGGCCGTGTTGGGGTCCTTCTGGGAGCCCCAAGAGGAACCCGAGACGGTCCAAGAGGACCCCCCATCGCCAAACGATCGGTCCGAAACGCATTCACGCCCTCCAGATCCTTGTCCACTTCCCGCCGCTCCAAGACGGCACAAGAGGCCCCCAAGATCGCCCCAAGACGGCCCAAGAGGCCTCCAAGAGGGCCCCCAAACAACCCAGGAGGACCCCAAGACAGCCCAAAACACCTCCAAAACAGTCCAATAGGCACCCAAGACGGCTCCAAGAGCGTGACCAGACGAGGGACCCGAACGGACATTTCGAGCCCTTGGCCCCGAGAGGCTCCGAGGAGAACCCAAGAGGTTTCCAAGAAGCCCCCAGAGGCCCACAAGAGGTCCCCAGGAAGCCCGAAGAGGCCCCCAAGAGGCTCCCGAGAGGCTCTCAAGAGGCTCCCAAGAGGCTCCCAAGAGGCCCCAAACTTCCTCCCCAGGGGCCCCCGAGGGCCTTCCGCAGAGAGCCAAAGAAGCATCCCTGAGGACTATGGCACATGTCAGCGTCGTCGTCGTCGTCGCCGCCGCCGCCGCCGTTGTCGTCGTTGTCGTCTCCCTTCAGGGTCGGCGGCACTGGCTGTAAGGCCTTCGCAATATCTTGTGAGGAAATATCAGGCGGGAACCGTTGTTGTTCTAGTTCGGAACCCAACATGCAGTTTGGAGACACCAAGCTTTCCCAGATAGAAAACTGGGCCCGAGCCCCGGGAGGAGCACTTTAATCCCACCAGCCCTCTGGGCCCCTTGTTCCCCTTCGAGGGGGGGGATACCCCTCTCCCTGACCTCCTCCTCTGGACCTGGACGGGGGTGGTCGCGAGGGGTGAAGCATCCAGGATGGCCCAAAAAGGCTCCAAGATGGGCTCCAAGATGGCTCAAGGTAGCGCAAGATAGCGCAAGATCGCTGAAGATGGCTTCTAAGATGCTCCAAGAGGCCCAAATACCACCCCGAGACGGCTCCAAGTGGCCAAAGAGCTCCCCAAGGAGGCCCCGAAGAGGCCCAACTCCTTCTCAAACCTAAGGAACATCGATCTGTTTTGATTTCTCGCCTGTGTGCTTCCGATGGCCATCCTAGGCCTCAAGATGGCTCCAAGAGAGCCCATGAGGGCCCCAAGAGAGGCCCAAGAGAGCCCCAAGACGGACCCCCAAGAGCTCCCAAGAGCACCCCAAGAGCGCCAAAAAAGGCATTGCGGGGCACTCTAGAAGGGCAAAGCAAATTAAAACTCCCCTCCATACGTCGTGCAAGACTAGACACATTCGCGGGCGCTCTGGCGCGCTATGTGTCTAGGTAGCTACAAGCGTTGGGAAATTAAGACTGGATCATGTTTGACTCCTCACTATCCAACTGCCCTGCTTACTTTACTCATCTTGTTGTGGCTGCCGTCTCCCGTCCTGCTTCTACTTGCCTTCTCCTGCCGGCTGTTGCTTCCTCAACCCTCGTCTAGGCAGGCGGGAGGGTTCAGATTGAGAAGGAAATACATGAGTGGAAGGAAAGCGGAGGAATGAGGCAGCCAGAAGGCAGGACGGAGGAGACGGGAGGATGGAGGACCAGGAGGCATGATAGGAAGCCAGCGAGGAAAAGGGTATGAGGGGAAGGAGGCAGGCTAGGTAGGAATCAGGATGGAAATCGGAACGGAGGAAGTCACACACCGACCGGAGGGGGGTGCAACTCTTATTTGACACGTCCTCTAGAGGTTCCCCTCCTCCTGACGATCCTTCTCCTTCCAATCCTGATTTCGCCGCATCCTCCACTCCCGCATCTTCTCCTCCGCGTGTCTTTCCGAGATCCATCGTAAAATCGATAGTGGGATCGATAGTGAGGAAGATAGTAAGGTCAATCGTGAGACCGATAGTGAAATCGATTCGGTGAGATCGATGGTGAGATCGATCATGAGATCGCTCGTGCGATCGATTGTGAGATCGATTGTGAGATCGATTGTGAGATCGGTAGAGAAATGCATGATGAGATCAATGGTGAGATCGATCGATAAGAAGATCGACCAGGAACCCGGGAACCTGGAAACCTGGGAACCCGCCGCCCACCGAAATCGGCCCGGAACCAGCAACTGGGATCCGGAGAACCCAGAATCCGGAACCCAGGAACCTGGTCGCCTGTCGAAATCGGCCGGGCACTTTCGCCAAATCTGTCAACATCCACAGGGACCCCTTCAGCGCAAGCACGGAACAATGGTCACTGGAGGGGGGGGACCAACAATGGCTAGTCTTTAGGACTGGTAAGTCACGACTCCCGCGCGATACTTCACAATTTACTCCGAGAGGCCCTGGCCAGAGAGAGCCCGAACCGGAAAAAGGGCGCTCTCGCCTGAGGCTTCCTTTCGATTTAACACCACAAGGGGGTCCATCAGAGCAGTATTGCCGCTACCTGCGGATGCCAGAACGGCCGTTTGTTCCGCCTGAGACTTCCTCCAATTCAGCACCACAAGGGGATCCTTCAGAACCAGGTTGCTGCTACTCACGAATACCAAACGGGTTCTTCGACTGAGATTTCCTTGGTAATTCAGCACCACAAGGGAGTCCTTCAGAACCAGGTTGCTGCTACTCGCGGATGCCAGAACGGCCTTTACGTCTGAAACTCTTCGCAATTCAGCACCACAAGGGGGCCCTTCAGAGCATTGCTGCTGCTATTCGCGGATGCCGGAACGGCCGCTTCGCTTGAGACTTCGTTGCCATTCAGCCAAGGGGAATCCGTCCGAGGAGTCTTGCCGCTACTTTTGAGCAGGGGCCGACCGTCACAGCATTCCTGTAGGCCTATCACGACATGTTCTTAGAACCAAACAATGAAACAATGTTTTAAGAACAGAACCATTCTCTTAGAACATCAACCCGATGTGGTAAAACAAGACAGTCTCGGCCACAAGTGTTCTAAGAACATCTCTAAGAACCACAAAAGGTAGTGAAACATTGTTTGGTGGGCCTATAGGCACGCCCGGACGCTTCGCCACTGCTTGATACTTGCGTTCGGGGAGCGTTTTTTGGCCCGACCGCCCGACCAGTAGAGGCCTTTTAGATGGGGTCGGAGTAGAGGGGGTCGATAGATCGCGCCGCATCGCCGATGCATCACCGATGCATCGCCGATGCATCGGCGATGCATCGGCCACGTGGACGATGCATCGGCGACGTCGGCGTGGAGAAAATCTGGCTCCACGTCAAGCCTCATCGCTGATGCATCGCCGATGCATCGGCGATGCGGCGCAATCCTGCGACCCCATCTACGCCGACCCCATCTAGGATTAGGTCGGGCATGTCCCCCTACAGGTGGATTTTGGGCGAAAGATAGAACATACCCAAACATATTCAAGAACCCCCAAAATACTCTCAAAAAGTCGTCCCCAGACTGTGTGACTATTTTTGCATCTCCCCCCTGTGGAGGGACCCGCCCGACGTCAGTCTGGGAGGCCTGGACACGGCCCGACCAGCCCGCTGCAGAGCCCGCCCGCCCGACCTGGCAGGGTTCCGCCCGTTCGCCTGCCCAGAGCTTGCCCGCCCTCTTCCACTTTTGTTTGTTTGGGACTTGCCACAGGGGCCAGCTCTGCGTGCGCTGACACCGACGGTCCTCGGACGGCGCCCCTCCGACAGGCAGAACAGGCACATACTATTCCCATAGAATCGCCGCTCTACCTCCCCTCACTCGTCAAGGCTCCTGCTGTCCTTCGGGTGGAGGCCTCGAAGGATGCGGAGGGGCTCCAGCGACAAGGGGGTGGTGCAATAGATCTGGTGCAGTGCAATCAAAAACCCTAATAAGGACGCGCGGTAAGGACGCAATACCCTTGGAAGCCGAAGTTGGGGTTTGTGGTGCGGCGGACGACGAAAACCTCAAGGACGCAAGAGCAAGGAAGAGCAAGGACGCAAGGGTACCCTGAGCAAAGTCGCGCGTCCTGATTAGGGTTTTTGACTGTACAGTCGGACTTGATTGGAGAGGACACGCGAGAGGACAGAAGACCCTTTCCGAGGGGCACGCTGCCATAGGAATGTGGGAGGCATGGGGCGCGAGACACGGGACACAAGGGTACCCCTGACTTGGCAGGGTCGACCTACTAATCTGGGCCGACTGTAGATTTGTGGGGTTGCAGTACATCTGGGGCGTGCAAGACATTCCAGGGCGCGAGTGCATTGCTGGGCTTTCGCCTGCCATGCACTGCTTGCAAAACAGCAGTGCAATACAGTTCTCCGGCGCACTACATTTGCAATACATGTTTTGATTCGCGGGTCGAGAGCGCACCTCTTCCGGTCGAAGCTAAGCGGGCCGCGCGAAGCTTGAATTAGGCAGAGAAGAGGAGGGGGGAAGCGGCGGAGCCTCAGAGCGAGGCCGAGAGGAGGCATAGCCTCGGATACAGGCGGTGCCGAAGCCGAAGTTACTACATTTGCAACACATGTTGCCCCGAAGCTATTGCACCACCCCCTTTCAGCTGGACCCCCTCTTGGGTCACCCAAACCCTGTCCCGCCCGACCTCGGAGTCCCGCCCGACCTCGGGGGGGATCCGAGGCCCTCGCGGGAAAAGCAGCGGCCCTCTACAGGAGGGAGGCCGGGCTCCCTGCGGAGGCAAAAGGGCCGGGGGGAACGCAAGGGACCCGGCTGCACGCCGCAGACTTCGTAACCCCCCCGTTCCCCATCCCCCCCTTTTGTGAAGGGGCCCTGGGACACACAAGTAAATACACACGAATAAAAGGATCCCCCATATTTTCCTATATTTTCCGGATTTGTGTCTTCCCCCCCACTGCCCATATTTTCCCATAATTTCTGGGGAATCCACGATTCATTGTGTCTGTGTGCTTTTTTCCCTCTTGATTTTGTTCGGCCCGAGGGAAGCAGCGGCCCTCTGGGCGGGAGGCCGGGCTCCCTGCGGAGGCAAGGGGTGCCCCAGGGCCGCACACAGAACTGCCGCCGGCCCGTATCACAGGGGCGCGCGGTGAGGATGTGCAGGCAGGGGAACGAACAACTACATAAACATCAGAATTCGGAGGTCCGCGCGGATTTCTCGGATCCGCGCTGGACCTCCTTGGCGGCGCCTCCAGCGCCGCCTCCGGCGCGCCCCGCGCGCCAGGGAGGGGGGTCCAGCGCCGATCCGAGAAATCCGCGCGGACCTCCGCATTCCGATGTTCATGTCGTTGCTCGTGCCCCTAGACCCGCTCGCTGGCGTCCTGATCCGCCCGTCAGTGTCCGTGCCCGCCCGATCCGCCCGTCAGGATCCGCCCGCCTGCGTGCTCGGCCTCTCGCGCCCTTCGCAATACCTCGCCCGCCCGACCCTGCCCGTGAAGGTCTACCCGCCCGACCCGCCAGCTAGGGCCGGCCCGCCCGATCCGGCCGTCAGGCCCCGCTTGCCAAGATGGTCGCTCCTCCTTCTCCTTCCCAGCCTGCTCTAGAAATCTTCTTCGCCCTTGATCCTCCCTCCTCCCGCTTTGGCCCCCTTCTTGCTCACTTTTCCTCCTCGTTTCATCGCTCTCTCTCTCTCTCTCTCTCTCTCCCTGCTCATTTTACCTTCCCCCTCCTGCTCCTCCTATTGCGGAGGCCGCACCAACTACACGTGGCAGGCAAGGAAGATAAGATACACCCCCCATGGAGCAAGACGTGTATCGCTTGGGCATTCCGATAATACGAGACTCCTCCAACTCCTGCCCTGCCTCCTGATGCACATCCTTCCCCTCTTCTTAGGCGAACACAACCAAATTGCCAATGTCAACAGCTCGGCCGCTGCCGCAACAGTTGCCCAACCGCCGCAGGGGGTTCTGGGCCCCAACTGCATCGCGAAGCATGGCCAGCGAAACTCAGTGGAGCAAGGCGTGCATCACACTGACATTCCCGCTGATCCCCATCATCAGACTCCTCCAACTTCTGCCCTGCCTTCCGCTTCACATCCTTCCCGTCTTCTGATATTGCTAACACTGCCGCCTGGAGAGCCCCAGTCGTGCATACGCAGCGATTCTCAGAAATCATGATTTTTATTCATTTGAAACAAGCCATGGTCAGGGGGGGTGCGACAAGGAGGAGAAGCAGGGGAGGGTCCTCCTGGTGACGTGGCGTCGCTGTGAAATCGCAACGTGGACATCCTCTCTGGAGCAGCCCTACTGGTGGTGCAGCGCCACCACCCTTTGGGCGTTCAACCCACACATGGCAACGAACCTGCAACAAAAAATTGGCGCGAAATAGCCATGCAGACATCCTTCCGAGCGGAGGAGTCTGCCTCCAAGGGGATCGCAAGAACAGCGCAGGTAACCTCCCTGTCGTCTGCGCATAACGCTCGTCCAGAAGTCTGCTTGCAGATGCCTCAAACAATGTTTGCGCTAGGGGCTCTCACTAGTGTGACTGCCTATCTACCAAACCACCCCAACCCAACCCGGAAGTCACCGTTGGGATTCAATTTCCGGTGGGGGGGCACTCCAGAACATTGAGGAAACACGATGTAGACAGAACAACCCCCTCATCCGAAATTGGGGGGTGTCTAGGACCTTCGGGTTGGGTTGGGGGGGCTTGGCAAGTGGTGAGTGAGTTACCGAGTGAAGTCGTGTCCTCCTCCTCCTCCTCCTCCTCCTCCTCCTCCTCCCCTCCTCCTCCTCCTCCTCTCCTCCTCCTCCTCCTCCTCCTCCTCCTCCTCCTCCTCTCTCCCTCTCTCCCCCCTCCTCCTCCCCTCCTCCCTCCCCCTCCCTCCTCCTCCTCTCCTCCTCCCCCCTCCTCCCTCTCATCCTCCTTCCTCCTCCCTCCTCCTCCGTCCTCCCTCCTCCTCCTCCCCTCCTCCCCTCCTCTCCTCCTCCTCCTCCTCCTCCTCCTCCTCCCTCCTCCTCCCCTCCTCTCTCCTCTCCTCCTTCCTCCCTCCTCCCCCCTCCTCCTCCTCCTCCTCCTCCTCCTCCTCCTCCTCCTCCTCCTCCTCCTCCTCTCCTCCTCCTCCTCCTCCTCCTCCTCCCCTCCTCCCTCCTCCTCCTCCTCCTCCTCCTCTCCTCCTCCTCTCTCCCCTCCTCCTCCTCCTCCTCCTCCCTTCCCTTCCTCCTTCCTCCTTCCTCCTTCCTTCCCTCCTTCCTCCTTCCCTCCCCCCTCCTCCTCCCTCCCCCCTCCCCTCCTCCTTCCTCCTCCTCCTCCTCCTCCGGGCCCCGTGCGCACGGTGGGCTCGCCGAGGCCTCGCCAGAGAGACGGACGTGGGCGCCCGGCGGGCGCCCCGAGCGCTGGGCGGGCCTGCCGGGGGCGTCCGCGCACGTCGGCTGGCCTCGTGGGCGCCCCTTGTGCGCAGGGTGGCTGCACCGTGAAGTCGGGCCTGTCCAAAAATAGTTCAAAAATAGTCCGGAAGAAATAGTCAGGGGACGATGTTCGACCATTTTCTAAGCTTTTTATACATAGTCTAAAAACTATGTTCTATTTCTCCTCCAAAATCCGCCTGGAGGGGGACATGTCCGACCTAGCTGTGCCGAGGTTGCGCCTGGTGGGCGGCCACGGACGCTCCGGGGGCGCCCCGCACGCTGGCCGGGTCCGCCGAGGTCTCGCCGGGTGGGCCGACGAGGGCGCCTCGTGGGGGCGCCCCGCGGGCTGGGTGGGCCTGCCGGGGCGTCGCCCGGTGCGCGTCCGTGGGCGCCTCGTGGGCGTCTCGCGCTGCTCGCACGGCACCACATCGCTGGCAGCACCTGGCTTGCACCACTTCGCTTGCACCTCACAGCTCACACAGGACGGTTGCCACCACACGCCTCACATCACTCAGCTTGCACTCCCCCTTGATTGCTTGCACCGCACGTGGACTGCAGCGCGCCGCTTGTGGCGCGCATGGCTTGCACCACCTCGTGTGCACCACAGACCTGAAACACCCAAGATTGCAAGAGCTCACTGTTCGGGGTGCACGGCTGATCATGCATGGAACGACGGGTACGTACCCTTGGTGCCCTTTGCCACACCCTTCCTTCCAGCCTCAACCCAGAGATCAGAGGTCAAAAAGAAATAGGCTTTCGACATCTTGCCAAGACTGGCACGGAGGCGCTGCACGAGACTGCAACGTGCGACGGGAAGGCACCGCGCCGAATCGAACGGAGCGCCGCGATGCGACCCGCAAGAGCGCGGCTGCTAGTCGGAGGCCAAGAGGAGGACGAGTTCAGACAACGGCAGCTCAAAATCGGTCCCCGGACCCCTCCTGGGATCCAAACGCATCAGTTTTACGAGCTGCGAGCAGCCGTGGCGACGAGGGAGCCCGTTGAAGGCCATCAATCGTCGCCTCAACTCACTCTCCTTTGAAGCAGGCATCTTGGCCGCTGCTGGGGCCGTCCGACGCGCTTGCAACCCAATCGGCCGTGCCAAACGCGCCACGCTCGGCGCGCACCAGCGTAGAGCAGATTCCCAGCGGCCGCCACGGCGCCTTCAACGGCGGCCTGCGCGCACTCCGCGCGCCTGGCCTGCCTCAGGACGAGTCCGCGAGAATGATCCTCTCCGTCTCCGCGACGGTGTCGGGCAGGGGGGGCAAGGCTCGACCAAAACAATGTGTTTCGCTTTCGTGATGCACCGCTTAGGTCGATCCCTGGTTTCCGCGACGGTGTCTGGGCGAACAGCTCCGTCAGACATGCTGCGCCGCCACTCGGCGGCGCCCGCAAGGGGGTGGCGCAAGGGGTACGGCATGCTGAGAAGGCGGAGAGGCGCCTTAGAAGGCAAAGGCCTTCTTGGAAGGCTCCCCACGCTTCTAAGAGGGGTCTTGGCAGCCGAACAGTCTTCTAAGAAGCCCCCCTGCCTTCTCAGAAGCCCCGCCGCCCTCTTAGAAGTCCACGCCCCTTGGTACCGCCCGTTTGAGGGCGCCGACGGGCCGCAAGATCCATGGGAGCTCACGCCTGCTTCTTGCTGAGCAAATGCCGTCGGCTCAAACCGCTCGAGACAAACGGGCTGTGGGCAAGTCGCATCAGGGGTACCGTCGAGGGTAAGCGCGGGTTGGATGGGGCACGCGTTTTTGTTATCCTGTTTTGCACCCTCGTCTTCCTCATCGCGCCCCTCCCCCCGTTCGTTCTCCTCGCCACCGTCATCCGTTTCAGCTGCCGCCTCCCCTCCTCCCTCTGCACCTCTTTAGTTGCCTCGAAGCGGTGCCTTGACACTTGCACTGCCGCTGCATTTGCGAGTTACATACTGCGTTCCATCCTTTCCCCTCCCCTTGGTCCCTTCCATAACGCTCTACCGGTCCACGACAACAACAAAAGCAACAACAATAACAACAACAACAACAACAACAACAACAACAACAACAACAACAACAACAACAGCAGCAACAACCACAACAACAACAACCACAACAACAACAATAACAACAACCACAACAACCACAACAACAACAACAACAGCAGCAGCAACAACAACAACAACAACAAACAACAATAACAACAACAACAACAGTGCCAACGCCAACGCCAACCCCAACGCCGACAACAACAGCAGCAGCAACGACAACACTAACAGCAGCAACAATCATGTTAAAGCTGTTCGCTCTTGGTTACTCGCATGTCACTAAACATGTCTACCCCAAACCCTCGATACTCGCCATCTTCGTCTTTGATCGTACCCCCTATGATGGTAGGGTATAGGTTCCTTCCATGCTGTGCGTAGTTGGCGCAGCCCCTGAAAACAGGATCAATTAAAACGTCGAGAATGGAGAGAGCGAGGACACATGTGTGGAGGAAGTGGAGTGTGTGGAGGAAATGAGGAATGGGGGCTGGACGCAAGAGAGAAGAACAAAGGAAATGGAGGACGAGAGAGATTAATAAGAGGGGAGGGCAAAGAAGTCTCAGGCGAGGGCGCGGTGCCTGAGTGAATCGTGAAGAAACCCCAAGCGAGCGCACAATTCCAGAGCGCCGAAAGCGCGATCCGCGAATCAGTTGTGAGGAGGACTCAGGAGAATAGCAATGAATTCTGGAACGAAGACCCGATGTCTCAACCACGCGTGAGGAAATTATATCGGGCGGGAACCGCTGTTGTTGTAAGCCGGGGGCCTAGGGCACAGTCTGAGGCCCACCAGTTTCCCATGTTAGAAACAGGGTACGCGCCCCTGGAGGGGCACTTAAATTTGAAAAAAAACAAAAAAAACATTGCGCGCCCGCGCAAAAAGATCGACAATAATTGCTTTCAAAACAAAAGACTCAACAGCAACAACAACAACAACACCAGCAACAACGACAAACATACAAGCTGCTGCAACAACAACAACAACAACAACAACTCTAACATCAACAACAACAACCAACAAACAACAAACAACAAGCAACACTCAACAAACAACACTCAACAAACAACACACAACAAACAACACATAACAAACAACAAACAAACAAACAAACAACCAACCAAACAAACAAACAAACAAACACAAAAACAACAACAATAACAACAACAACAACAACAACAACAACCACAACAACAACAATAACAACAACCACAACAACAACTACAACGACAACGACAACGCCAACGACAACAACAGCAGCAGCAACAACAACACATATTTCATAATCCTGCGCGATGTTTCCACACGCAGCATGCGACCATCATGATAAACATCTCCATCATGGGGGATGATTGTTCTATCGGGGGGGTCCGTTATTACCATTTCCAAATCTCCCGCCCAATGAGGTCTTGCAAACACCTCCTCCGAAGAATTTCAAAATATCCCGCCTCGAAAACACATGCCCGCGCCCTGCTGCGCCGATGCGAGACCGCCTGCGGAGCCCCAGCCAAGGGTAAAGCACAAGGAAGCATGGAGCGACATTTTTTTTTCTGCTCCGCAAAGCGTGGCGAGGCCCAGGTGCACGAAGCGTGTGCGCACCATCCCAGCAGCCCATCGTATGTCCAGGACTGGGGGAACTGCGCGACGTCGACCGAGGGCGCTTGTGACCCAGCGTGAGCCCGACCCGCGGACGTTTGCATCGAGCTCATGATGAGTAAGAGGGAGGGACGAGGAGAAGGAGGAGGAGCAAATCAGCTGGCAGCGTGGATGCCAAAAGCGGCAGTCACGCGCATCATCTGCTCGAAAACCCTGGCGCACGCCAGAAATACAAATGCACCGGCCGCAAGAGAAAGAGGAGGAGGAGAGAACTGCGGGACGGAGGCTTGGCTGTCGACGCAGCGTCGCATCGCACAAATGACTCGCAAGCACATTGGAAAGGCCAACCGTGCTTTTCGTTGTGTGTCTCGCGAGACGGAATCTACGACGGCTCCGCCTCCACGAGCTCTGGCCCGTCGCTCGCTGGAAGGATGCCGTACGTATTTAGGGTAGGATGCGAGGAGAAGTAGTGCATCTTGATGTGCTTGATGTTGGTGGCCTTGACCGCCTGGATGGAGTAGCACGTGCGCACAAAACGCAGCAGGTGCGGGAAGTCGGCGAGCCGCTTGTGGCTCGTCTTGAAGTAGACGACATACACCGGGTCAAAACGCACAAGAGTCATGTACAAGCGCAGGTCGATCCACCGGAATTCGGAGCCTGTCAAGAAAGCCGTCCCACTTTTGGCCAATAGCGCCTCGAGGCGATCGAGGGATGCAAACAACTCCGCGTGCGCCCGGACATAGGCCTCTTGAGTGCGTGCGAAGCCGCAACGATAGACGCCGTTGTTGACAGTCGGGTAGATATAAGAGTTCAGCTCCTCCGCCGCCGCCGCCTCAGCTTTGTTGAACAGCTTGCGCTCGGGGTGCTTGCACCACTCATCGAAGGCACTGTCAAGCATCTGCAGGATCTCCATGCTTTCGTTGGAAACGATGGTGTCCTCCTTCTTGCACCAGAGAACAGGGGTGCTGTACTTGCCCGTCTGATCGTTCGCACGCTCGTACAGCTCGCGGATGGTTTTGCAGCCATTGACAGTGTCGGGGATGCACGCGTCATCGCATTCGAACGAACCGTGGCCGAGCTCGTTGGTCACTGGCGCGTCACCGGGAGCTCTGAAGTGCCAGCCAGTGTGTAGATCTTCCGGATCGTCACAGCGGGTGCGGCGCCAAGTCGGATGGACCACGGAGACGCTGATGATGTCCTCGAGGCCCTTGAACTTGAGTGCTGTGAGACAACCATTGGCCCATGGGCAACCGAGCGCCACGTACAGATGGTACCGGCTGGCCTCAGGCTCGAAGCGTGATTCTGGTGCAACTCTATTGCTGAAGCCAGCAGCCGATCGCTGGAAATCGCCCTTGCTGTCAATCTCATCAAGTGCTGTGTGTGCCTTGACCATGGTCACGATATCAACCTATGAAATACTGTCTGCTGCGGAAGCCAGAGACGGCTTGAGCCAAAATGGCTTGAGCCAAAATGGCTACGGAAGGAAGTATGGAGCGACATGATTGGCTTGGTGGGGATGGGGGCGATCGGCGGCGAGGCAAGGACCTGGCCCTGAATAGAAAGGGAGGAAGTCTCGAGCAGGGGTGCTTTTGTTGCTGGGAGCGGCGCCAATGCAGGAGAGAATAGGGCGCTACTCCTGCGTGAAACAACACGAAATCTCGAGCGGGAGCGCTGGTTCTGTTGGGGCGGCACCTATTGGCGGCGAGGAGAAACACCGCCTTGAGTAAGAAGGGAAATAATCTCGAGCGGGAGCCGCGGTTTTGTCGGGACGGGGGCTGCCGGCGGCGAGGAACAGCACCGCCTTCAGGGAAAAGGGAGGAAGCCTTGAGCGGGAGCGTTGTTCTTGCTGGAGGCGGCGCCAATTCACAAGACAGGTGGGCGCCAGTCCAGCGTAAAACGGGAGGAAGTCTCGGGCGGGAGCGCTGGTTTTGTTGGGGCGGTGGTTTCGGCGGCGAGCAAAAGCATCGGCCCGGAGTAAAAATGGAGGACGTCTCGAGCGGGAGCGTTGTTCTTGCTGGGAGCGGCGCCGATGAGAGAAAGAGTAGCGCGCATGCCAAGGTAAAACGGGAAGAAATCTCGAAAGGCATGGGTTTAGTTGGGGCGGCGGTTTTCGGCGGGCACCGGCTGTGTATGAAGAAAGAGGAAGTCTCGAGCTGGAGCGTTGTTGTTGTTGTTGAACTCTCATGTATGAAAAATAATCCCACCAGCCCTTTGGGCGTGAGTGGTTTAGCGAGCTCTCTCTGTTCTCAACCCCCCTTCTTCCCCTTCGGGGAGGGGTTTACCCCTCCCCCTACCCCCTCCCCCTGGACCTGGAGAGGGGGTTTCGCTGGTGGTCAGAGGGTCCTTTTTCTATCCCTGGGAGGGCTCAATTCGACACCCCTCACGAGGATCGTGGCCCCGACGGGGGTACTGACAAAAATGCTCGCCCCATCTGTGATCGATCGCCCCAAAGATGGCCCCAACAGGCCCCCAAGACGCTCCAAGAGGCGCCCAAGAGGGCCCCCGGACGCTCCCAAGAGGCTCAAAAGAGAGCCCAAGAGGCCCCTCTACGATCTCCAAGAGGCCTCCAAACTGCCTTGGATACGACTACTTGTACTACTACTACTACTACTACTACTACTACTACTACTACTACTACTACTACTACTACTACTACTACTACTACTACTACTACTACTACTACTACTACTACTACTACTACTACTACTACTACTACTACTACTACTACTACTACTACTACTACTACTACTACTACTACTACTACTACTACTACTACTACTACTACTACTACGACTACTACGACTACGACTACGACTACTACTACTACTACGACTACTACTACTACTACTACTACTACTACTACTACTACTACTACTACTACTACTACTACTACTACTACTACTACTACTACTACTACTACTACTACTACTACTACTACTACTACTACTACTACTACTACTACTACTACTACTACTACTACTACTACTACTACTACTACTACTACTACTACTACTACTACTACGAGGGGCCCGAAGGACTTGCACCAGGACGAGATGCCCGAACGCCTCACGCCACGAGGAGCCCGAACGACTCACACCAGGACGAGGGGCCCGAACGACTCACACCACGAAGAGCCCGAACGACTCACACCAGAAGGAGGGGCCCGAACGACTCACACCAGGACGGGGCGCCCGAACGACTCACACCACGAGGAGCCCGAACGACTCACACCACGACGAGGGCCCCGAACGACTCACACCACGAGGAGCCCGAACGAATCACACCAGGAGAAAGGGGCCGAACGACTCTCACGAGGACGAGGGGCCCGAACAACTCACACCACGAGAAGCCCGAACGACTCACACCAGGACGAAGAGCCCGAACGACTCACATCACGAAGAGCCCGAACGACTCACACCAGGAAGAAGGGCCCGAACGACTCACACCAGGACAAGAAACCCCAAACGACTCAAACCACGAGGAGCGCTTTCTCTCCCTCCTCCTCCGCCTCGTCCTTCTCCCGCTCCCACCACAAGGAGGATGTACAAGGAGGCGGGAGGAAGGAGGAACAGGGGAGATATGCGGGGGTAGGCGGAAACACGCCTGAAAAACACGACTGTCGGCATGCTTCGCAAGAGTTGCTGTTTTGAGATGGGCTGGTGGGGATACGCGAAGCGTAAAAAATTATTGTTGATCCCCCCCCCACTGGTGCATACCGTTCTCTCTCAATTCAAGTGTGCCCCATCGACGCTCGCACCCTGTTTTCTGTCACGGAAAATCTTCCTGCTCAAACTGGGCCCCTGGCCCCCGGGCTACAACAACAACGGTTCCCGCCACAGACTTCTTCACCATTTAGCCAGGACCCCCGCTCCCGCCCGAGACTTCTCACATTTTACTCAAGAACCGCGCTCTCGCCTTGGACTTCCTTACAATTTATTCAGGAATCGCTCCCCCAGCGCTCTGGAGTCGCGCTCTAGCTGGGAGACTTGCTGACGAATAGCGCCCTTGCATTGGGATTCTTGCAATTTACTCAAGCGCCGCGCTCCCGACACCCAGGAATCGGGATCTCGCTGCCCTTCGTGGCCCCGTTGCAGCCCTTCGTGGCACCCTCGTTTTGTTTCGTGGCCCCGTTGCAGCCCTTCGTGGCCCCCTGATTTTGTTTTGTGACCCCCTCGCTGCCCTCCGTGGTCTCCTCGCTGCCCTTCGTGGCCTCGTTGCAACCCTTCGTGGCCCCCTCGCTTTGTTTCGTGGCCCCGTTGCAGCCCTTCGTGGCCCCCTCGCTGCCCTTCGTGGCCCCGTTGCAGCCCTTCGTGGCCCCGTTGCAACCCTTCGTGGCCCCCTCGCTCCCCTTCGCGGCCCCGCTGCAGCCATTCGTGGCCCCCTCGCTGCCTTTCGCGGCCCCATATATGTATGCCCTTCGTGGCCCCCGCTCGTTCGCGCCCTTGGTGGCCCCATATGCATGCCCTTCGTGGCCCCGCTGTCGCCCTTTGTGGCCCCCTCGCTGCCCTTCGTGGCCCCGTTGCTACCCTCAGTGGCCCCGTCCTTGCCCTCCGAGGCCCAACATACGTATTCCCTTCGTGGCCCCCGTTCGTTTTCGCCCGTTGTGGCCCCATATGCATGCCCTTCGTCGCCCCGCTGTCGCCGTTTGTGGCCCCCTCAGTCCCACGTGGCCCAGTTGCTACCCTCAGTGGCCCATCGTTACCTTCTGTGGCCCCGCATTATCTGCCCTTCGTGGCCCCGGCTCGTTCGCGCTCCTCGTGGCCCCATACGCATTCCCTTCGTGTCCCCGCTGTCGGCCTTCGTGGCCTACTTCGTGTCCTTCGTGGCCCTGCTGTCGTTCTCGCTCGCTCTCGCTTTCGCTCGTCGTCGCCGTCGTCGTCGTCGCCGTCGTCGTCGACGTCGTCGTCGTCGTCGTCGTCGTCGTGGTCGGTCCCCTGTCCGTCCTTCTTGGGGTCGGGTCGACGGTCCGCGGCCGCCCCGCCGATCAGCACTGCCGCTGGCCAGGCCGAGCCGCCCCGCCGCTTGCCGGGGCCCGGCCTGCAGGGAAGAAAGGTATACCCCCCAAAAGGGGTTCGATCAAGGACGAAGAGGGCGGGTATCGGGGGGGGAAATACGCGTTATTGGACACTCGATCAGATAAGGGCGAACAGTCTTAAAATGATTGTTGTTGTTGGTGGTGGTGTTGTTGGGGGGTCGGTTTTGGTGCCCCCCAAAACCGCTCGAACGTGAGTCTCATTTTCAACGAAAATGTAGCCGGCGCCGAGGCGAGAGCGCCAGGGCGCCTGGGGGGGTCCAACAATACAAATTGTTTGGTAATCAACATTCATCATCAACAAAAACAACAATTATTCTAAGACTGTTCGCTCGTACTTGCCCGTGTGTCCTTCAAAGCGAGTTCCCCTCACCCTCGATACCCGCCCTTTTTGTCTTCGACCACATCCCCTTTGGAAGGATTCTTTCACTTTGCGGGGGGCGGCGGGCTTAGACAGGCGGGCAAACCTGAACTGGCGGACAAACCTTCGTGGGCGTACATGTGCCCGCCATTGGAATTGGTGTGGGCCCTGCAAAAAAAGGAGGGGGGGCACGAGGGAAAGTGGGCGGAAGGGAGGGGGAGGGACGAAGGAAGAGGGAAAACGCCAGGAGAAAAGGAGCGAAGAGGGGGGCGGTTGATTAGAGGCAGAGAGAGACAGACAGACAGACAGACAGATAAGAGAGGTAGAGAAAGAGAGAGAGAGAGAGAAAAAAAAAAAAAAAAAAAAAGGAGAGAGAGAGAGAGAGAGAGAGAGAAAAAAAAAAAAAAAAAAAAAAAAAAAAAAAAAAAAAAAAAAAAAAAAAAAAAAAAAAAAAAAAAAAAAAAAAAAAAAATGAAAAAGCAACCTAACAGCGATGTGTAGGAGCATATTTGGAAGCATTCCCCTTAAGATTCAGATGAGAATCCAGTTGTAGAATTCTGCTGTTCTCGCAGTCGTAGTCGCATTCGCGATGACAGTCGCAGTGGCAACGGCAGTCGCAGTCACAGCCTCAGCCTCAGCCTGCCTCAGCCTCAGCCTCAGCCTGCCTCAGCCTCAGCCTGCCTCAGCCTCAGCCTCAGCCTGCTTCAGCCTCAGCCTCAGTCTGCCTTCAGCCTCGGCCTCAGCCTCAGCCTGCCTCAGCCTCAGCCTGCATCAGCCTCAGCCTCAGCCTCAGCCTCAGCCTCAGCAGCATCAGCCTGCCTCAGCCTCAGCCTCAGCCTGCCTCAGCCTCAGCCTCAGCCTGCCTTTCAGCCTCAGCCTCAGTCTGCCTTCAGCCTCGGCCTCAGCCTCAGCCTGCCTCAGCCTCAGCCTGCATCAGCCTCAGCCTCAGCCTCAGCCTGCCTCAGCATCAGCCAGCCTCAGCCTCAGCCTCAGCCTGCCTCAGCCTCAGCCTCAGCCTGCTTCAGCCTCAGCCTCAGTCTGCCTTCAACCTCGGCCTCCGCCTCAGCCTGCCTCAGCCTCAGCCTGCA